AAAGCAGAAGCATTACATTACAATAAGAAACAAAGACACACTGTAATAACCTCACCAACCACAACACTGCATTTTGAAGAAAAGCGACAATGCTGAATTGTGTCTCCCATTTTAAAATATATTGTCTGTTCAATACATAATGTGTGCTGAACTTAGAACCCGTCTTAACAGAAGCTTTGCCTTGGGTGTCAGGTTGAGGTGACAAAACTCCTCCTGCAGGCATCTGGCATCACTTGGTAATCACAAATAATGTAAATTTGAATCATTGAATCGCTCCTTTGAAAACCGCATTACCTGACCTTCAGTAGCCTAATAATAAAAAAAAGAAATCCCATTCTCCTGAGGTAAAAATTGCTAAATCCTCACCTTTCTGGTGCAACTAATACTGTGAGGGAGAGGTGAGGAGGAACATTACTGCCGACCTGTAGTTAAAGCTATAGTGGGGAGAGCTATGGTTAATGGTTGGCAGAAAAATGAATTCAGTCAATGGAGGTTCTTTCATAGAAGATATAGAAGTACAAGTGTGTGTGTGTGTGTGTGTGTGTGTGTGTGTGTGTGTGTGTGTGTGTGTGTGTGTGTGTGTGTGTGCCGTGTATTTGGGTGTATTTGTGGACAGCAGAACATAAATAATAGAACACAAGGGTTTGGTTATCAAAGTGGCCTTTTATTGCTTAATAGCTTTTGTTAAAGGCTTGCTTTGGATCCATTCAATATTGTTTCTTTCCATGCCTTGTTTTTGCCCTCATTTTTAGCTCGCCCAGATTTAGCTCAGTTTCATCCTCTAATCCTTCTGTTTTGTTAGTGACACTGGGAGAACAGCCTGGGCTGTGTGGCTCAGCCCGCCTGTCAAAGCCTATACCATCTCTCGCCAGGATCAGGTTATTGCCTGAGCTCTGTGTATCTTTATATTGAATTGCTTGTGATAGGAGGCTCTGGTGTGTGTGTGTGTGTGTGTGTGTGTGTCTCTGTGTGTGTGTGTGTGTGTGTGTGTGTGTGTGTGTGTGTGTGTGTGTGTGTGTGTGTGTGTGTGTGTGTGTGTGTGTGTGTGTGTTTATCTGTGCGTCCCTCCATATGTTTGTGCCTATATTTATTGTACATGGATGAGGTGGCTCTGAATAAGTGAATGGGACACACAAGAGTGGCTACAACAATTGTCTTTTCTGACCTCAAATCTCAATATTGTCCCCTCATGTCTCCTCCTTCCCTTCCAACCCGCTGCCATGTTCTCCGCTCTGCTCTCCATTCGTCCATCACCACAGTGGGGTGATAGATGGGGCAGTGGAGACGGCGAACGTTAAAGTTTGTGGGCCGTGGACGGACAGCTCGGCATGAATATCAGTGGCACAGAGTAAGCGCTGGGAATTGGATGAGCGGGAGCGAGGGAGGTGTCAGCACTTTCCCTCCCATGCATTTTCACTCAGCCGGATTGAGTCTTATTATCTGACCCTGCTCCTCTTCCCTCGGTGACCTAATAATATTGTTTCAGCGATCCTGTCCACCGTCTGACCCCATGACTTCACACAGGAATCCGCTAGATGAAGGGTTCCACTTTCCCAAAGAGGCCTGGTTCTGTTTTAGCTTTTGCCTCTTTCTTGTCCATAGTGTGTTCATGTGCACTAGCAGCAGCTTAGTGATGTTCATTTCTACTGTTTATCTTTATGTTACTGCAATTCAATTAGCATCATACAGCCATCAGTTATATCCCTGTATCTAATGCTGTTTATTACTCTGATGGAGAGTTTATCTAATACAGACCATCTCACACACGCTCAATAAGCCTCCTCATGTTGTACTTTACCTAAACAAAGATCTGTATAAAACCTAATCAACAGAATCTCATTTGATTGGTCGGCAGTGTTTGTTTGTTATTAATAGCGGAATGAATCAAAGTCGCAATATCAGTGAATTAACATGGTTATGTAGGAGCTTGTTAGGCAGCTGAGGTAAATGGGGGAGATTTGGGAAATAATCCTTCCCCAATCTGGACACCACAGCTGGTTGTCTCAAGCCTCTCCATCCATCGTGACACATACATACATACACACACTCACATTTGCACACACACGCCCAGCTCCGAACTCCATGTTGCTGCCAAAATGCACAGGGACACAGGGATGGGGATTGAGGGGGAACGGCAAAGAGTGTGTCGGTGTGTTTAATTGGGTTTTTCCAAATCCGTCTTAACCCTGATATATGTCCTTCCACATGCTCCGGCGTCACTTGGTCTACAGGTCACCCAAAGCACAGCAACTTGAGAATCCCTTCTTGCAAAATTGCCAGCAAGTGGGACAAGGTTCACGTCCCTATTCACACTTCATCACAATAACAGACTTTTGAAGAAAGTGCCGCTGAAGGGGATTAAGCAGCTATCTATGCTGTCAGACTTGTGAAGGTCCTCTTATCTCTGTTTGCTACTGTTATTTTAGTGATGCCTGTAATTGTCATTTCTGGTTTCTGGTGATGCATACTCCCAGTCTGCAGCTGCCTGTTAAATCGCCTTCTCCTGTGGTCAACTGGGCGCCAGATTGGCCAGGAAAAAAAAAAAAAAACATGTTGACCTTGTCTACAGATTTAGAACACAGAAGCATCACTGATATGGCAGCTGTACTGTGGCAGGCAACAGAAGCCAGGGCTCCAATCAGATCATCAGGTCAGATGGCTGTAGTTAATGCCGAGGCTCATAGTGTGGATGTAATACGCTCCAGCTCAATGCGCAAAGACAATTTTGCAGGCCTTTGTCAGAGCCCTCAGAAGTCTTGAAAGGTTGCTAAGGCTCCTTTTCATTAAATTAACCACCTCCTAAGAGCTGTGGGTACTGAACTAGTTAAATCCTCCTCTTGGTGAGGATTGCACATTGGGTGTTGAAGATCTCTGCCTGTCTAAACCGCTTGCTGCTGACTCCAAGCTGTCATATTCATTCTGTAATTAAGCTTTTTTTCTCCTTTATTTTGACATGTGACAGAATCTGAGCTGCCGCATTGCTAATGGCGATCCAAATGATTCGAGCACGCCCCCTACCCTACGCACCTTCCACACAAATACTGTACAAATACACCCACAGACATGCACAGCAACTCAAACACACACAAAAATATCCCATGCACTCTCATGCCTACACCACTTTTCTGAATCAATCTCCTGGACATGACCCTATCTTCCACATATTGTGTTGCTTTCCACCGTTGTGCTTATTGCTTTCTCTGATTAATCTTCCTCTTTGCTTTCCCTGCTGCACTGGTCTGAGTCAGTAGACTTCCTGTTGGTTTTCAAAACAACTCTTCATGTCAGCCTTCCTTCCTCCCATCTCCCCCCTTCCCCTGATCCTCCCTCGTCTTCTATTCATCACTCCACAGCCCATTTTACAGTATCTTTCTGTCTCCTTCCTCCATCCGTTTCTCTCGCTCCATTACCTTACCCGTTCGTGTCCCCTTCATCTCACCCTCTGCCTGTCCAACCTCCTGACATGAATTCTTTTTACCCTCTTACTGTATTTCCCTCCTCTTCCCTGCATTTCTCCCCTCGCCATTCATCTTCAGGTCCTCTGTCCATCTCCCTCCCTCCCTCACTACCCCTCTGTCAGGCCCCAGCTCTCTCTCCCTCCTCTTCCTTCGTCTGGCAGTGGAGCGGCTCCACTCTTGCTGACAGTGCTGTTTGTATGAACTGAGTGCTGAGCTTCACAGCCCCCTCGCCTCCCATTGCCCCCCCCCCCCACCGCTGCCTCTCCTCCTTATCCTCCACCCTCCCTCCCTCCTTCCTTTCCTTCTGCCTACCACCTACATACCCCTCCAGGCGGGGGAATTAACCTTCCAGCCCTGGGCTGCTGGGCTTAATGACTGTCTGTGGGGCCGACCACACAACCCAGATGCTAACATCTGGGCCACACACACCCACTCACACCACCTAAACACATACACAAAGACATACGCACACAACACACACAACTATACCGGACACTGGCACATCATTGGGTTACAGTCCTTGAATTTGTGCCACGGGCTTGCGTCATTATCATTCTTTCTTTATTGCCTGCTGCACAATGTGGGAGTTTCTTTGCACTATTCTCAAAGACAGTTGTCAATCTATCATTGCTGCATGGCTGACCCATGGAACAACAGATGCAGCACAATAGCAGCTTTTGTGTTTATACTGAGCAAATAGCTTGTACATATAGTCAACACAGAGCCACAGCACAAGTGTGGACTATCAGCAGATCAAATGAAAAATACATGCACATGGAAAATAAACATGACCTTTAAGTTGTCTTGCTAGAAGAGCTTTCAGTATGTTCCACTGAGCAAAGGGTGGTATTCTCCAGCCACCATTCAGTTGGAAGTATATAATTGACAAAAAGGAGGGGGGGTTAATATTCAGGGAAAAAAATAAATCAAACATTCCACTGTTGAAAGTGAATTCTTTGGCCTGTCTCTGTCTCCATCTCAGCAGCGGAGCAGATCACCCCAGGAGTATTCAGTATAGGAAATACAGTTATGTGGATGCTCTCTATTCCATTCATTATGTATGAGCGTAAATGTTACAAACTAGCAGCTGTGAAGACGTCCATGTTGCATCTGTATCTTCGAGGGCTGCGCTGCTCCTTCCATCCCAGCACAATGAAACTCTAAATAATGGGATCAATGAATACTGAATACCAGAAAGGCAGTATAGAAAGAAGCTGCATGCATGTTCCTCTGCTCTTATTACTGACTCACTGCAACTTTATTAAGCTTTTATTGTTTATTAATTCAGTCCTGCTGAAACAAGAGGTCCAAGAACATTTTAAATTGGCATTTTGTTACTGTCTAGCCTTAAGAGTATAAAAGTATTCACTGAATCATTGGGGCAGCCATGACATAATTATTGTGTTTTTGACATTTATTTTCCTGTGCAGGTGACCCCTTGTAACCATAGCCACCAACACTTTTTATATACACACCTTCCTTCATTCTTAAGTCTTCACTGCTGCCTCTCCCCCTCTCTTTATCTGTTTGCTTCTGTCTTAGACTAAGGAGTGAGAGAAGGGGGAGTCCCATTGGCATTCTTTAACATCTCCGTTGCTCACTGGTGTTCAGAGAGCCATCTGTAGATCAGGAAGACAAAAAGACGCTCCTGAGCCTTGGCGTCACTCAACAGGTAAGCACAGCTCTCTTTCTCTCATGCAAATCCACACACCTATTCAAAGATTCCAGGCTTTTTTTTTTTTTTTTTTTTTTTAAGAAGGAGGTACCCCCCTCTCTGTGTGTCTGTCTGCCTGCCTCACACTCTTTCTCTTTGTGCACCCTAGGCAGGCAGATGTGCTTGAGTTGGTGGAGGTTGAAAGCAGGTTTTGCATCTCTGTCTCTCAACTTTTTCCTGAGGAGAGCAGGTGTGTCAATGTGTGTAGCAAAATCGGAGTAATCCAATAAACTTGAACACTTTGAGCTCAAGGGAGCAGAATCGAAGTGCACAAACACTGAACTTAGGTTGCTTTGAGTGCCTTGTATTTTGTGCTGGACATGTACGTTGTCAAGCTGATGAACTGCTGGACCAAACTGTTACTGTATGATTAAGCCTCTTAACGTCTGTTCTGTCAGTGTTTTGCGCATCCAGCCGGATCTTAATCATGTTTTAATTCACAATCAGTGATACAGATGCGATAAGATTTAGTTGATAATCTAATCTGCATCTTTTTAGAAACCTTCTCTATCAGCAGTTCAGTGTTAAATGGCTCACAATGGAGCTTCTATAAGCTACAGTAATTGGACCCCACAGGCAACTGGTGAGATTGGTAAGAAGTTAGGCTAGTATTAAGATGTAGGACCACATCTGAATTGGTTGGCTGCACGGAGGTTGAAACTTCATTTTCTGCACATTGACTGATTTCATGGGGTTTCACGTTAAATTGGTCTAGGATTGAGTGTATTGAGTCGTTTGATGATGTTATGAAAGACGCCATTAAAAATCTACCTGTAGGGGTCACGCTGAATGGTTCAGCTGCCTCTAATGCCCTTGCAGGGAGAGTGGCAGCCTTGTCTCTGAGAGCGAATCAAATTTCAAATCAAACTTTCTAATTTGCATTTGTAAGAAGCTGGTGAAGAACAAGGTCAGAAAAACCTGTGGCAATACGTGCTGCTGTAGTAAAATATGGGTCTTTTCTGTATTTGAAGACAAATTAAATTGCCATCAGTATAATTTGTTATATTTTAAGCAACTGTTGAATGACAGATCACAGTTATTCCCCAAGCGTCATATCTCATACAAACAAAATAAACATGTATCAGCAAATCAACATTCTTGGGACTGGCTGTATTTGTAACACAAATAAGGCGGTTGTTTGGCTAGGTAATGGGAATGTGGGGAGGTCAGGCAGGCTGTTTTCCCAGTGAAAATGGAGACTTATGAGGCGAGCAACAACCTTTTCTATGCTGGCCAAACCTCTTCCTCTCAGGGAATACCTTCTGTTTGTGCTCTAAATCGCAAAGGTAAGGATTCAATTCTGGCTTTTTTTCATTGTAGTGTAGACAAATGAAAGAAACCCAGTACTTCTTACTTGGAGATGGATAATAAATTCGAAACCACATGAGAAAAAATGCCAACATTAGGCAGGAAATAATGACTGTGTTTGTGTTTACCTACATGAGTTATTAATAGAGAGAGAGATAAAGAGAAGATGGGCACTTTTAACCTCAGAAAATAATTTCTGTTCATTGAAGAAGGAAGTAATTGCCCTTGTGTGTTCAAAGAGTATACTGGGGGCTCTGAAATACACAAATGTTTTGAGAGCGAAAAAAAAATAATTGAGTGTGAGTTAATTCTTATCAAAGCCTGTTGGAGTGCAACTAATCGACTGAGGGGAGATGCGTCAAAGAGCTGTTGCCTTCAATTCATTTTGTCTATTCAGATGAGAAAATATTTAGTTTTCAATTAAGTAAATCACTATTATTTGTTCCACTCCTGCAGCAGATAAATTGAAGTGATTACAAACTGACTTAAAATCCACAGAGGGCTCTTACAGGTCAAATAAGGGAGAGTATTGGATGCAACGGGCACAGGCCCATTGCACGGCCTGCAAATTTAATTCAAAACTGTGTCTGGGATCCATTCACAACAAGAGCATGTCATGATCCTGACAGTGAATACCGCTTTTATACTGTGCCCATGGGAAATTACCTGCAAAATACAAATACACAGTTGACAGAAAATTTGACATGAATTTCTTGAAAGGGCCATGCCAGTATTGATTGAATGTTTTAACTTATTTACTGAACAAGTCATCCTGCCTATAAACAACAAAAATATGAGCATTTTTCTGGGTTGGCAAATGGTACCTTAACATTACAGTCTGTAACCATATGAATCTATCACACCAACCCGTACAATACACAGCCGGTCCAATGCGATGCTGACACGGTAATAAATAGGCTATGCAACATCCAGTTAGACTTTCAAAATAGTGATTACTGAGATGTATTTTTAGGTGACAGTCACAGTTTGGTGAGGTATAGGTACTGAAACTACTTTAGGAAAAAAAATCGCGTTTTAAAACAATCTACCTTGACTATAGGTTTCACGTGAATCTTGAGTGAAAGTCCTGTGTTTGCCATCCATCCACCCACACAACAGGTCTTGTTCTGGTGACTAGTAAATAGTATTGAAAACACAGGTTAAGAAAGCCAAACCTTGAAAATAAACGAGAAACTTAAACATGAAAAAAAAACCATTTAATTCGATAGCTTCTTAAAGGCTCCTACAGTGCTGGGCAAATACAAATGGCTCTCAAATCATACGCCTACTACAGTATATTCACACTGTGGGGGAGTTTATGTTTTTGTCTATTTCATGAAGGTTTTTTCTTTTCTTTTCATGGCTGTTCCAGGATTGTCGAAGGTCAGGTGTCAGTGGTGAAATGGACTTCTTGTCAGCATGGATTGTGTCTCCTTCAGCTCTACCCTTTCTCTGTCTCATCTGGGGTAAGAGAATCAAATGTCACCATGCAGCTATCATTACAGTAACTGTGGCCTTTTCAAGTCCCATTCATGTTCAGACCATTCAGTTGAGCAGTGGGAACACTGACTTTATTGAATCCTTAATTAAATGAAGCCACACAGCTTTACAGTGATGACAATTCACTGTAAATATAAAACAGTTTAACTAACCATAATCTCATACTTATCTCTCGATGTTAATGAAGATCTTGTTTAATATACTGTACCAGGTTCACTGGCCCTACTCTGGCATTTGTCTATGTTTCTCCTTTCCCTTTTTTTGTTTTTTTTGTTGCATCGGAGCAAATCACAAATCAGCTAGCAAATCAAGGTGGCGAACAGGTCCATTAATATTATAGTAACCTTTTGTTATTTCTTAGTCAAATAGGAAACCTGCAGCTGCATATTTTCCCTCTCTTTGTGCTGGGGGACCATCTTCCCTATGAACAAGTCCTCAGATGGAAAGGACAAATTTTTTAACCAATTTATTCATGGTAACAGGGGAACTCAGTCAAAGGGTATTAGTGTTTTATGCAGATAGCTTAATCCTAATGTTGCCCAACCTGTAGAAAGGCAGATGTGATCATATCGACTTTTCTACCAGGGTTGTTATTTAGCTCAAGGTAAAACTCTCCAGTGTGAGTGGCATGGTGCTATGCATGTTATCCTTGACAGTTCTATACACTTTGTATGTCCCTCCTATTTTCACCTATGGCATTGAGTTGTCTATATTGAAAATAAATAGCGCCAACATAATTTCACTTCTGCTACTGGGTAATATGTGCACAGTATTTCCTCACTAGTTTCCATGGTGATTATTACAATGACTTTTAGTTCATGGTGCTTACTAAACATAACCCTTGTAAAGTAAGTAAGTAAAAGTAATTTGACAATGTAGTGGACAACATGACATTAATCATGTATAATGCTATGACAGCAAAAGAATTTAGCTTTACAGACAAATCAAAACCTTTAGAAAATACTGGTATATGAGGTGCATGCTGTACCTAGAAAAGTTAAAAGGGAATGTAGAAACAAGGTTTGAGAAGCATACTTATATAACTGGATACATCCACTCTTGAATAAGAAATGGAAATCAATATTTTACAGCAGAAATTTTTGACAGCTTATAGCAGGAAAGTACAGGTGTAATTAATAACTTGAATTAATGACGGCTGCATTTTATTTATGTGTTGCAATTCCAGCACACCCAATGTGCATGCTTGCTTACTGGTATGGCTTACTGTGGCACTGAAATGGAATTGAGCAGTCATTAATATTATTACTTATTATTACAACTGTGTGATGACAAGTCAACATGTGTATCATTAAAATAGGCTTCCCCCTTCCTCTTAAAGCTGTACTAATTTAATATTGTTATATCAACAATGGGTCGAAGAGAGAAGAGAGTGGTGGAATGGGACCAAAAGAAGGACACAATAAACACTTTTTTTGGTGAGGTATTACCTTAAAAACCATTACATTGTAGAGTAACAGTAGCACAAACAGTCTTTAAGTCAATTAACAGACTCAGTAATACTAGTTATACAGCAATATCGAAAGCCTGTTATAATTAGCATTATGCTACTACCTAAGTGAGGCAAAATCCAGTAAGAGCTCAAGTTATTGCCTATAAGTTTATCATTAAAGAGGAAGATTGTGTTGTTTCTTCATTAAAAAAAAGAATGTTTTGCCTTTTTTTTCACCTTCATTTAAGTTTCACCAAGAGAAGGCCTCTCTTTTGCAGGAATGCCCTGATCACATTCGCACAGTTACACACATTCACACCTGGAAGCTGTCCAGTACAACCACAGTCTGATCTACTGGCCACTGAGCAGCTCCACTGGAGCAGCTGGGGTTTAGGGCCCCCGCTCAAGGGCACCTCAGTGGTGGTAATGCTTTTTCTCTTTCGCCACCCAGATTTAGCCTGTCAGTCCCGGGGATTGAACCTTCCGGTCACAAGCTCGCTTCTCTAACCTTTAGGTCACCACTGCCCAAAAGTTACATACACTCACCTCAGGACATAAAAACTGAGTCTTATCACTACATTTTGATATTGTATTTAGTATTTCTATCATACGGCATAACTATTTCCACAGCCACAGTAGATCACTGTTGAGTATTCATTTATGTTAACCGTATGCAAATGTGCTACTGTGTTTGGTTGTTTGTATGCATCCTCTGTAATGGCCAATCTTGCCCTTCATATTTGACGTGAGGTGACTGGTTCAGCCTTGATCTGAGAGCTCTGCCTCTCACTCATGTTGTCAGACGCAACAGAGCATGCACTTCACAAACAACTTGGTCATTGCTTCAATGAAGGTCAAGATTCAAACAGCCTAGCAGAATCAGGCTGGCTTCTCTGTGGGGCATTGTTTAAACGAGATTCATGCTTAGATATTAGGCATTAATTGGAGTATGCAGTTGCGTTTGAACTTGAACTGAATTTATTCATAAACCTCTATGTATAAAAATAATATAATTGTAGCCCCAGTGTTAGAGGCTCATGGGTGGTCTGTGTTAAGGTTACCTTCCTAACTCAAGTGCACTGCACCACAGAATGTCACCTAAGAGCCTGGTTGAAGGATGGCCAACCCCACCTATGACAAACAAGGGGGATTAAAGTGATAATCATTACTCTTCCCAGGAGGAATTAGCTGGTGGGACATCGACATTGAAGAAAAACCGCAGGTGAACGAGGTCTCTGATACCCCATGCTTTTTTCTTCCTCCCAATACCCTATCTGCATGACCAGGGGGGGATTTAATTCGCAGTAATTACTTTATTGACTCATTTTCAGGGCCGTATCAGTGCAGTTTCCCATCAATAAAACATATGCCAGGATGAATAATGTGGCCAGACACAATGGGGTGCCTTCTCAGACAAAAGACCACAAGACTGCATCCCTGTGGTGTATGTTTATGTCATGCTCCCTCTATTCCTTTTATTTCCTCCATAACACTCCTCAGACATACTTAGCCCTTGTTCTTCTCCACCTCTTTACATTAAATGCCACCCCATCTATTCCCTGCTCCACAATTCCACTCCAAACTCCTTTCCACATTACCTTTCTTCCTTCCCATTTTATGTCTCTAGGCATGCAGGCCCAGCAGGCCTTCAGGTCTGAGCCCAGGAATCTCACTGTGCGGATGGGAGCCACAGCTGTGTTGAGGTGTGAGGTGCTGCGGGCCTCAGGGACTGTGCAGTGGGTGAAAGACGGCCTCCTCCTGGGACTTCAGAGAAGCCTGCCAGGCTTTCCACGCTACAGCATGATTGGAAACCCCAAGAGAGGTAGACAGGGATACTCACGGTATAAGGTTTATGGCCTATTTGGCTTTGCTGGACCTATCCGAGCTAAATAAATGAACTTGTTTGATACAAGAATCACTAAAATGACACCAGATTGTCATTGTCATAAATTGCCCACTGTATGGTTGGATGTGGCTTGCAGTTTATGGGTTTGACAAAGAATAAAAAATCTCAGCGAAATGATGAACTCATAATATCTAGTTGAGTGGAATAAGATAAAATAACACTGGCCATATTACAGATAAGCCACTGTGTAGGCTTGAACATGATGTCAAATGCGGAAAGGTTAAATTAAACTATGATGTACCTGGAACAATAATATGCTGTTGGTATTATATTTATCCTGTATATTCCTTTATTTTTTTGTGACATATGATTTTAATTATGGAGTGATGTTGTCAGCTCAGGAAGCATCCATCAGTACAGCTTGATGTTGGCTAGTCTAAAAGTAAATGAGATGATGTTGTTGCTATGGCTTCAAAGTGCTGTAATAAAGCAACACAGACATTACGGGAACCTTATGGCACACTAGCTCTCCATACAGTGAGCATCTGGGACTGAGGAGGTGATGTGATTGTCAACAGCCTCTCACACATCCCCCTCTCACTGTCACTCACATGTAAAGAAAAAAAAAAGAAATTAAAGCAACAGTGTCAGCAAATCAGTGAAATGTGGCAGGGAATAAAGTGTGTTGCAGAATCTGCACCACAGTCTATAAAAAGTAATAGCCAATTAGAAGGCAATCCCTAGTAAGAGAAGAGCATCTGTTCCTGATCAGCCCGCAACTAGACAAGCCGCACTTCACTGTTGCACAATGTGGGAGACCGGCAGCGACACAAAAACACTGAGAGAAGCATAGATGCCCATGCTACCATTGTCCATGCTTATTAACGCCCAGAGTGTACATGAAAACAAGTGTATAAAACACTGAAATATTGTTTGTCAGCTGATTAGTTGAGTAAATTACAGTAAGCATTGCAGCAGGTACATCAACATCAACTAAATAAGAATATATACACATGAACATAAGGAAAACACACACACAAGCTGTCAAACACTCAAACATACACTCATGAATAAAATACCCATCAGCGCAGGTACACTTTACCAGGAAAAGAAACTGCAGACTGCAGGCTGATGTATGCAATCACTTTACACTGCACAGAAAGAGCAAAAGCATTTAAGATGACACTTGACTGCACTTGATACTCCACCAGTTTTCACTGATTGTTCTCATCAGTGATGTTTATTGACGCTTAAAAAAGCCTGAAATCACACATTTCCCCTCACCAAAGAGGCCAGAGTTGATTTCAACATGTACTTACAGTAGATGTAGCACCCTTGGTTTCCACAAGCTGAAGCAATAATGTGAATGTGTAAGGGCATGAGCCTAGATCTAGGATTACATGCATTTGTGTGTAACAAAGTGTATTGTAAAGACAAACACACAGAAGATCAGATAAAACAGCTTGTTCAAAAGCACCAAAGCATTCAGTGAGAATTTATTGTCAATCATTGGTCCACAAGGTGTGATTTAATTGTCTTACATGACATGTAGCCAGTCAATAAGGCTAAATTTAATTATGAATTATTTTCATATATTATTCTTATCATATTCTTATTCTTATATCAAACATTTATAAATTTGTATACCATAGTCACACATGAATATTAATTTGCTGTTTATGGCATGTCAGCGACTCTGGAATTTCTTTGCAAATGAAGTTGTTGTCAGGTTTAATGAATCTTGTAGGCCTTGGAAAATTGCACAAGTATTATTTACCCTTAAGTACTGAACTGAGCCAGAAAAAGAAATGATAAAGACCTTTCAGCTTATTCACATCTGTCACAACGTGTGAATGCTTTTACTCTTGTTTTAGAAATAATGACGCCTTTGTAGTACATTCTTTATATTGAATCAGTTTGTACCCTGTATATTAGAAAACCACACACACACACAAACACACAACTATATAAAGACTTTGTGAAAGGGTGAATGGTCCTGTAAACTGTTTCAAATTGTGGAATAGTTTCGGAAACATGCTGCCTATTCGAGTAACTATGTTGCTTATACTCGGCTGACTGAATAATCCAAAAAGATTGTCTGAGTCAAGATCAACAATTGACACTAGTTAGTTTTCTCCTTCCCTTTCCCTTTGCATTGGGACTGACGTTTCTCAAATGTGTAACAATTTGTGTTTCCAGCTTTAGGACCAATACACAAATGCAGATTTGCAGAGGGGAGAATATACTATAATATGCTCTGCAAGCATAATGACTATATAGATATATACTGTATCCTAAAATTGTGAAGGCCCTTGCTGAAATAAATACAGAGTAATGGGCAAATAAGCAAATAGTGTTGCAACCATCCACCATATCCCCAGCCATAAATACACACTCTCTGCAACTTCATTGCTCTATATTTGAGTAATTTCAGGAAACAGGAATATGATTAATAACTTTAATGTCTCTCTCTCTCTGCACTCAATGATAACTTAGATGTGAAAATTGCTTCTGGTTGGTGTTAATTATCTTGCCAGCTTACTTGACACATGCATTTTTAGGCCTGGGTGGTTGTCAGACCAAGATACTATTTTCCACATGTTAGTAGGCTGTGAGCCAGAGAATCAGGAGCTGGAAAAACTAACACTGAGCATCATCTAATCCCCACAGGTTATGGCAATGCATCAAACAAATCAAGCCCTGTTGGCATGCCAGACTATCAGAAGAGAGACACAGAGAGAAGGACTCTGTCTGGCATCAATTAATAGACAGTTTATTCAGTCGGCGTTGAGATTCTGGCATTGGATTTCATTTACCATACTGGAAATTCATTCTGAAACAAAATGCCTCTGCTATGAGGATAGACAACCACTTGCATGTCAATGGAAGTGCCTGCAGCAGGAGGTTCTCAGCAAGTGAGATGTTTCCATTTTACAGAAATACGAAAATAGTCTATTTATGATCAAATCAAATCCCCAAACGTCAGTAGTAGAGTATATTACCGTATTGAATTGAAATGCCAGACTGTCATTGTACAAATTGCTTTTATTGTTAATTTTCCCATTTCCCAAGTTGAAAATTGCCTATAATTCAGACACTCTGAAATCAACACAGAAGAAATAGGGCCTGCAGGAGGTACTTATCAATATACATGCCAGAATTCTAAACAGCGAGGGTTATATTCAGCGGGGTGTGAACAAGAAAACTAAATGAAACCTCCTCTTTGTAATTATTTACATGTATTTAGTGAGCACATCCTTATCACAACATAATGTGTCACAAAAATAATTAATCTCTCCCTCTATATTCCAGGGCAGTATCATCTTCAGATTCAAAAGGCCCAACTGGAGGATGATGCCCCCTATGAATGTCAAGCGGGCCAGTCTGAGAGCAGTCAAGCAATCATTTCCAGTACAGCCTGGGTCAATGTGCTAAGTGAGTAGAACCATGTAGTCTGTGAACAGAGCAAATGTTGGAGACTGTTTTTTTTTTTGTAACAAAACGATGTAATGAGACACAGTGAACATCCTCAGTACTCCGGTAACATACGCAACCTCTTGACCAGTAATCAGCATATAAAGAGCTGTTAAATATTCATTTCTATTGATAAAGAGCTTTAATTTGCTTAACATAAGACAGTTGCGTTAAGCAGTGCACACTTGAATTTAGGGACTAAATTTAAAGTGTCCTACAGTAGAACTCAGCAGTCTCCGTCAAGCGCAAATCATATTTCAAACATGTATGAACTATGAAGAAATTCAAAATAGCTCAAACTTTTCGGACAGTATTTATTCCTTTAACAAGCACTATGTCATCCTTGCATGTTCCGGTAGGTCTATGACTTTAACCAGCAGCTGCACAATATAAAGTATCAGTAGAGCCTGGATTCCCTGGCAGCCTCAGGGTGATCCATGTCTCTCCCTTGCACAGGAATAAATTATAACAGAAGTGACTGAAAAGTTCCTACACAGACATAGGCCCGAATAGATGTAATTATGCGATTACATTAGACCACCTGTTGTCACTCTATAACAACCGGTATCTCTCTCTCCCTTTCCCTCTTGCTTGTGGGAGCAAGCCCATATGTGGCAAGGAAAGGACTCTAAAAGAACCTTTCTTCTCCGGGCGCAGTTCATTTACTTACACCCCCCTCCCCATTCTCTCCGTTGCACAATTTCTCCCTCTCTCCCTCGCTTTCAGGCTTTCTCTTTGGTGACCATGGAGAGGGGTGGGGGGTGGGTTGCCGGGGCGATTCTAGCGGCCTCACTCTCCTCTCTGGGAAGAAAGCAGGTTTTTCTGACATCAATGGGTCGGTGGGAGGGATGGCGGGTGGTGTGGGATAGGAAGAGGCAGACGTCTCCTTTGAATGGCTACGTTCTATTCTACACTGCAGCAGTCCCATGTCCTACAGCAGGCCTACACCTGCAGCCGCAGCAGGCTTGACTCCCACATTTATTACCTCCGAGAAGGCTATTGCATGTGCGCCCACATGCACAAAGTCAACACAATTGCTTTTGGCTTTGTCGAAAAGGTCAAATTGTGTGGGAATTCGTGTTGTGTTTGTGTTGCATCAGGGATTGCTGGTAGTTGTATTTACCATGACTGAAACCTACTGCTGCCCTGTGTTCCTCAGACATCAGCAGATCTGAATCCTTTTCACACATCTCAGCTGGTGTTTTTGTTCTGTGTCTTGGGAACACTCTCCAGCTGTTGACTGTTTGAGATGGACATTTGCAGCTGTACTGTTGCAAAGGGCAAAGAGTGAAGCAACTGACTTAAAAAGCACTCTGCAGCCTTGGTCCTAAAGGGTCATTTGTTCCACCCCACCAACTCAGCTGATTCAAAATACGTGACTAATCTGGGGCTTTATAATGAGCTGATGAATTCAATCTCCTGTTAGTGCCGAACTGGGACTGGAAACTGTGCATCCTCTTGAAGAGCACTGTCTCTGATGAGTTCCCCACAGACTTCTCCATCACTGAACTACAGCTCCCAAGGCCCCACACCCCTGGCCAGCCAACCATGGCCATATCCCATCAAGCCCTGCATCAAATCAAAACACTATAAACTCTTTATGAGGAGATACAGTGGGGGAGAGGGGAGGAATGTGAAAACAAAACAGAGATTGCTGGTCAAATAATTGGATTCTTGGGTCAGAGGGAGTGCTATCATGACTGGCTAATTCAAGATGGATCACCACAGGCAGTGAATAGCGGGGATGGAGGCAAAAATGTCAATAAGCCCCATCCATGGGCTTACAAAGAGATGTTTTCAAGACATTTCCATTGGTGCAACATAACTCCTGTGTGTTTTTGCCTTCCTGCGGAGCTTAGATAGGGGATTACTGCAATAGGCAGATCAAGTGGCAGTGAGTAATCCATGACAATAACAACCTCTACCCCCTTCACGGAAACCCCCTCCTCTACTAAAACTTACCCCGTACTGTGCCCGTCACATACCTGACACATCCTGTGTCTCGGTTTATACCATTAGCCTTAGCATTTAATCCTATTAATGAACAACTCTCTCCCTCACCCCGTTGCATGGCTGTACAGATGCCTCCTGCAAATGTTCAAAACAGTTATTTGATGTGTTCTGGTTTTAGACTGTGTTACTCATTCAGTTGCCATAGTTGGGTCTTACAGAGATATGTGTGTGTGTGTGTGTGTGTGTGTGTGTGTGTGTGTGTGTGTGTATGTGTGAGTGAGTGTGCCCATGTGTGTAAGCTTATTATCAGTGTTGGTTGGAGGTTAGAGGACATTTTAGGAACCAGGGCTATGGTGAGGTTTTTGCGGTAGCTAATGAGTTTAGCACTTGAAGAGTATATAATGAGCCTTCATTTTCTGATTCCCTGTTATGAATAATGGAACAACTTATAAATGGGGGCACAAGCAACGTAGAACATGGTGACTTTATTCATCTTCGTTCACGAAAAGTTCTGACAGTTGCCCAAGATATAACCCCATCAGAGGACAGTGTGTTATACACTGGTGTTGGACGGTGTGCATATCACAGTGCCAGACTCATGTTACAGTGTCAGGGTCTTTCCAATTGGCTGCTAAATAATAAGAGACACTTAAGTGACGGAAATGTTCTGCTTCTCTGCTTTGCTTTTAACTCTTTTTTGAAGCTATCAATGAAATAGATTCATCAATGAGTCTGTTGAGACCTTGCATGTGTGTGAAATACTATCTTGGTTATGGATGCGGACAAATAGGAATTTACCTGTTATGTAATTGACCCAAAACAGAAGGGAATAGAGACAGTAGTAGTGGGTCAGGAAGGAGTGAGTTGGGGGGGGAAGCTGAAAAAAGAGCACTGTTTCAGAGGCTTTCATTGCCAGAGATCACACACCTGAGACCTACAATATGTGTGTGTGTGTGTGTGTGTGTGTGTGTGTGTGTGTGTGTGTGTGTGTGTGTGTGTGTGTGTGTGTGTGTGTGATTGAGTGACTGTGTATGTTTTTATGCACATATGAGTATAAAAATACATCCTTGCGCATGTACACGTGTGTGGATGTGTGGTTTTAGCCAATCTTTGATTTCCAGAGATAAAACCGATGAGTTGTGTCTGTCTGGTGTTGAGAAGTCTGATCTTCTGCTCGCCATTATTTTCTTAAATCAGCATAATAAGCGTTTTAGAGACTGTTTTATCCTCTGGGCCGTCTCCAATATTTTCCAGAGAATCAGCTCAGTATCACATGTTGGACATGTGCACACACTAGCGCCTGTTTTTAGAGTGAAGTGAGATGAATGTAGCTCGTCTGCACATTCACTCGCCTGTGTCAGTGTGTTTGTGCGTGCAAAGTGCATGCACTGTAGACTTTATCTTTGGCTGTTTGTGTGCAAAGGACAGGAGAGAGTGTGTGTGCATCTGTATGTGAATGAAAGAGAAAGATAGGTGGAAGGAGCTGCTTATGCATATTGATGTGTGTCTGCTAATCTGCTTCTTATCTTCCTTATCCATCCAAACCGTCTGTATTTGTCTAATGAATCGAATTTAGCGGCTCACTGTTTCTCGTATGAACGGCGGGAGTCTTTGCATGCCTATCAATTTTTGTCTTCATATATGTACCTTAATAAGAGAGATAGGGCTGGAAAGCAGAGAGAACGAGAGAGCGATAGGGAGACAAAAATAAAAAAGCCAACAGGCAAGTAGACAAAGAAGGGGCACAAAGAGTTAATTAAGAGAACAGCTTGTTTGCTGTCTTTGCTCTGAGTGCATGTCTAGTAAATTGAATAGAATGTGTGTTTTGTTGTTGTCCACATGTGCTATCACATTTGTACCTCATATGTGTGTGTGCGTGTAAGTTCATTCTGACCGGACTGATTGGGTCACGTGGTTTGCAGATGTGATGGATGGCAGGCCGTAATTCCCAGTCGAAGCTGGAACACACCTTCCCCCACACTTCTGCAGTTTAACTGCAGTGGTCAAGAAGGATAGCGTGGGGAGAGGGTGGGCTCGGGCTGCTGGAGAGGGATGATGGAGTGAATGAGAGATAAGAGGAATGACCCAGCATGAGTGAGCGAGGAAAAAAATTAGATACCTGCCTGCCTCATTTGCGAACATATCATTATTCTTATTTTAGGATTTGTTAGGCTGCCAGACACTCCTCGAGCACAACAAGTGGTGCGCCTATGTGAGTCGTGCGGGCCTGAGTAGATTGAGAGTGCAGGGGCTGTCAATAGATGCATGGCCCAGTCATCTTCTCAGGGAAGAGGGGGGAAAAACAAACAAATGCATCTCATTATTGCAGCGCGCGCCTCTGCAGTGCTCTGGGTAACCCATCACAGTCCACACAGATTCAATTGCTTCTTTTAAATCAGTTTGAAGCTGCAGCCACATCTCATCTGTCTCAATAGTAGACTGGAGCCAATGGGTGACTCTGCACACAGCAACAGCTCCTCCTAGTGGCCAGGGATCGATTGTAATGTGCCAATGAGAGGGAGAGGAGCTGAATGGCTGGCTGGTTTGGTTGCTTGTGGTCCAGTTGTTTAGCCACACATTAGCAGTGGATTTATCTCAGAATTCAGCTCAGAAACAGCTATCTCCCTGGCCCTGAAGCCTACCTTCCACTCACTTTTCTTGCTGTGTCTCCATACGTGTCTGCCAGTCTTTCATGCCTCTCTCACACGTATCCATCCTGCACTTTCTAACTCCTCGTTCTGTCTCCGAACTCGGGCAGTCTTTGCACTTGATCTTTGATGAAAGAAAAACAACCTTAACAGTAACCATAATTTCTAATTCTATGGACTCACACACTCTCTAAAAGCTGGCACAGTAAATGATCACGTTTCTGTAGTGTCTGCATGATTGCACTGATGGTTGTCTTGGTAAAAAGTGTCTCAAAGATCTGCAGAAATCTCTTTGATGATTAGTTGGTGACAGAGTTCTCAATTTACTGCCAAACATTTTTGGTCCCTTGTGTTAAAAGCTATTTTTTTTTTTTTTTCTGGAATTCCTATTTATGGTCAGATAAAAGGATTGTGAAGTAGAACAGTGGAGAAGTGAAGACTGCTTTGATCAATCCAGAAAGCACATATTTAGCTTGGGGGTGATCTGAGAAGAGAAGTGTTTGGTGTTTGCTATGATAGATTAGCACTGGATCGGTTTCATCACTATTTCATCTTTGTATTCTCTTCTTGTCCACAATTTGTATTCTAACTCAACAGAACATGAAACCTCGCTGTAGTAAATCACTCAAAAGCTGACAGCGTGACATTCCAGTCACTCCCAAATGTTACGAGTGCTTATTATCACATCATTGCATAAGCTTATATCCATCTGTGACAGCGCCTGCTTCCACTAACCCAAAATTAGTGTGATGAATATTAGACGTAATACATATAAAACTTGTACTCTCCTTCAGTTCCTCCTTCCAAGCCATACTTTGAAGTGGACATGGCAACACCTTGGGTGGCAGGGAAGGAGTACACCATCACCTGTATTGTCCCTGACGCGAAGCCTGTGGCTTTAATCACACTTTATAAAGGTGAGTCACCCTTTCAACTGCACTGAATGTGACAGACATGGTCAGCTTGACAGGTTAGAACAAAGGGCAACAGCCTTTCTGGTATTCTACATTCTGGGATCTCTGCAGGTCGCAACCTGAATGTATAAACAAAAAAAAACATTCAGTAAAGATTTCTTATTTCACAGTCTTTGAATAGCAGAGTTGAAAGGAGCAGACTGTGTGGGAGGAAATAGCCTAAACATTTGAAATTCCAATTTCAACCATCTCTACGATTACATGTATAGTGAGTGTATCACAAGTTTAGAAAAACAACTGGAATTTTCTCATTTTCAGTTTTTACCTTTTGCTCCCTCGTCACACCTATTATACTGTATATTTCTGAGCCAGAGAGGGAGAGATGATTTTTTTTTTTATCTTGGTGTGAATTTGTCTAAAGGGTTATGCTGTAGGTCTAAGATATATATTTTCTCTCTTTTTTTTTTATTGTGTTCAATCAAAATGTAATTTTGATTTGGTAATATTGTAATCTCAGCACTGATTTGAGTTCATTTTGAAGACAGGTTGAGATTTTAAACTGTGACTGCGCCACACACACATATTTATCATATTCCTGTATGTGCCATTCCACACGAGAATAACACTGATGTTTCAGCCTCACATGAACAAGTTTACACGCAGTATTCTCCCTTTTTCTGTGCCTTCTTCCCCCCATTGTGTCTTTTAGATGGAGTCAAGCTGACAGGTGCAGAGTCTTTCACCATGTCTGGCTCAAAGGATAAGCTCCTGAACACGCATGCTGAAGTAACGTATGTGTTCGCCTGCCTGCCAGACTCATTCTCCTCACCGATCTGCTCAATCTCTCCCAGTCTGTCTTTGTTTCTTGTTTCCCTTGTTTTCACCCCGCTCTTATTTTCTCCTTCTGTCTTAGTGAGTACAATGAATTTCTGCACACAGCGAACTGTTACTTGGCACTGTGCGATTGAATTAGCTTCTGTCAAATGCACAAAATTACATTCCAGCAGCGAGACAGATCCGATCCTCACCGGTTCGCCAGGTGCCTATACATTAAACAGGGCCATAGATTGCTTTAATCCTGCTTGTCTCCACTGTGTCAAAGATAATAACCTCTTGTCATATCCTGAGATAACATTGGTACTGAGGAGCTGCAACGTTGTTCAGCTCTATTGCAGAACAGCCAAGGTCTTAAGCAATATTGATGCTTCTTCCTCATATTCACACTGAGCCTACACAGCAGTGGGCCATGTGTGATTGTTACGGTTGACATTGTACTGTAATTTGATACAGAAGACATAAACTGAAAGAGTAAACTCAGCTCAGAATAAATCCATTGCATTGCAGGTGCTAGTGGATGATTGTACATCACACAGTGCATTTTTGAATTTACTGTTACATGGCTCTCGCAAGAGGCAAGAGCCAGTGGTGGAAAGTAACTGAGTACATTTACTCAAGTGTTGTTCCTTAGTACAAATTTAAGGTACTTTCCATGTTATGCTACTCAATGCTTCTACTCCACTACAATATTGTACTTTTAATGTGTGTAAAATGTTTTGTAAAATTTTGGTTGAGACTTTCCTCAGATGGTTTAATTTTACTCACGACCCCTCAGATTTATTTTTGACCCTTTGGGAGGCCCAACCCAAAGATGGGAACCACTGGACTACACTATACCACAAAGCTCCACCATGACCACCTAACCAGTAAAATGCTGCTAACAGATGGATGCATCAGTATTAACAATATAATGAAGGCATTATTTAGTAATATATCAGTCACAAGGGGCATTTTACCACAGAATAAGTACTTATACTTCGATAGTACATTTTACCGACCACTTCTGTACTTCTACTTTAGTAGTATTTTGACTGCAGGACTTCTCCTTGTAATGATGTATGTTTCCTGACTGTATGTAAAGGATCTGAATACTTCTTCCACCACTGGCCAGACATCACCATGATGTAATGTTTGAAGCTTTAACACTTTGTATGGCTCTGTAAAAGCTGTCTGTTATCCTTCTCATTTCTTCTATTTTTGTGTTACCTCTCAAAGGGTCACCGCTGTGAGCTCTGACAACGGGAGGCAGCTGGCATGTCATGCCAACAACCACGCCCTTTTCCGGCCTGTGGAGACCACAATGACCATGAGCGTGTACTGTGAGTGTCTCAACCTGTCTGTAAACTGACAGTCAACACCCCCTCTGTTTAACAAAAAAACACACTTGCGTACAAACAAGCTCAACCGCACAGGAACCCAACCTCGGGGAGGCCCAGGGGTATCCGGCCTTGTGCACTCAGTCTGTGTTAGCGCTCCGAGGAGAAACATTCAACCTGAAGGCAAACTCACACCTACTTCAAGACAACAAGAGTGTGACTGCGTCCCGTTCTTGAAGCTTGCCCCTGGTGGGTCGAGATTGATATGACCAAAGCAGGAGGTCCAGGCTGTCTTCTTACTGTAAAACCATGTAACAGTGTCCACAGATAACCCTGCATATAAATTTCAATTAGTTTAGTTTTTATTTTTACCATTTTATTCAGTATTCCTAAAATTATTTACACCCTCGGTCTTATTTCCTCAATATTAACCAAACACATAACCCAATTATTTGACCCACTAAGATGGATTATATCAGCGAGGCTTCAAGTACTGAATTTTTTAACAGTATTATAATAACTAATATGGGAAGCTACGGCCACCACAGTTAATAATGATGAATCCTACAAAACTAACCCAGCAACTTTTGTGCTCATCAGCTCAAATTAAATTTAGAATCCACTGAGGCAGGAGGGGAGGCAGTTTCTGTTGCTTTTTCTTTCATGTTATTATCACAAACGGCGTGGCATTATATAATAAAATTGCTACTGCAGCACACAAAGGTGAGTTGACACACTTGCTGTCTCTGTCTCTTTGTTTCTTTTTTCCTCTTATTTGGCAAGGCAACAATGAAAGTCACTGTTGGTGAATGCACAAACAGTGTGGCACCGCAGCTACTGTTTACTACAGTAGGTTTAGTATTTTCTACTCTGTTGATCAGTTGAAGTAATTGATTGTTTAGGCCTAAGAGTCTACCCACCTCCTTCTCCCAGGCCTAAATCATGTTGTTGATTAAAGTGGAGAAGGGCTGCTGACACCTTCAGCAGCAAGCGCTCCGCTCCAGCTCGGCTGCCGTATTATCCACAGGCTGACTAGACACCTTAATGTTGTCCCTATCTATACTCCTCCACATTAGAAGCCGCAGCTGCTGTTTTAACAATCACCAATAACCGCTACTCCTCCCTTCCTCTCTCTGCTCCGTATTAAACAACATGGGCTCTGTGCTAAGTGCTAATGTTGCAGAACTTGGGACCACCGCTGCAGTCTTACTCAGCATGCCAGCCCATCAAAGCCAGCGCGGTGGCCATTTTTAGTCAGCCAGATTGTTAGCAAGGTGGCAATTTGTCACACTGGCCAGGGTCTGCAGCCTGCTCTCTGAAACTGATTGCAGCAATAACAAAGGCCCGTCCTCCTCTATTTATTGCGTATATTTTATTCAAGGAGGCTGTAATTTATTCATATTTCATGTTGCCTTATTACTGTTTGAACATCTGTTATTTTGCTTTATGGACTGTATCCAGCTCACTGCTCCCTTAATACTTAATGCTTTCATCAGATCTGGACCTCTTATCCTTTCCTATTCATGTTGAATGTTCCCAATTTATTGGCCCTGTCTCAACAAATAGGGATGCTCCCTACTCAATTGCCACGAGTGTTCTCATCGCAGTGCAGTTTCTTTTTTATGTTATCCTATTGATGGTCACTCCATCCCGCTGTTTCCCTGAGTTACTACATCCCCTCTCCTCCCTCACTTTTTCCTCTTCAGTTTTCTATTGCCCTCTATGCCATTCCCCTTTGTCAAGTCCATTTTTATTTTTGTCTCTCGTTTCCTGGCAGTCCCACCTCAGCCTCCAGTTATTGTGGGTCTGGAGAGAGAGGAAGTCAAAGCGGGGAAAATGCTCGTGTTGGAGTGTGTGTCTCATGGTGGAAACCCCCTAGCCAGTCTCCAATGGACCAAGGTAAATCTTCTGCACCATCTGTTAAGAAGGCTTTGTAACACGCTGTCACACTGACAAAATGAACTATTTAGGTTTAAGAATTTGAAGTGTAAGTATCTCGTTGTTAGTAGCTCCTGTACTTCACTGAGTGCACCATATGGGACCGTGAAACTACTCAAACATATCCTTGATTTTGCCTTTTTTTTAACTTTCTTGTGTTTGTCAGGATGGAGAAGTTCTGTCCACAGTTTGGGAGGAGAATGTTGTGGTACAGACGACCAGAAGTATCCTCAACCTGAAGATCACCCCTGCGGACAACCAGGCAGTGCTGTGCTGTGAAAGCGTCAATCTAGTCTCACCATCACCTCTGTCTGTCAGCCGCAAAATTACTGTGCTCTGTGAGTGAAAATAATGCTTAATATAGTGCACAATGCTGGAAAACACACATACACCCACCCACTTACACACACAAAGCCCTGGCAGGACTTGCAGCAATGGATTATTAAGGATATGGACATGAGGCAGTGGAATATAATAAGTCTTACCTCCAAAACCAATTCTTTTGCTGTCCCAGCATAAATTCTAATGCTAATATCATTAATGAAACTAATGGTTATTATGGCTGCAGCCCATATTTCTGACTGCCTCCAGATTAGTATCACTGCATGCTCTTTCATAGCTGATACACTAATTCAGCTGAATTGCTTCAATGCACAATCCTGAGGCAGTAAAGCCTACATTTTGTGCGACAGTAACGCCCATGGTTAATAGATTATACTTTTCTCTCATCTGAATATAAAATGTTTGTTTCAGCAACAATAAAACAAACACAGAATTAATATTCAGCAGCCTTGGTGCATTGAGCCTAACAATAGCCTGATTTCCACTACAGAGCCAGACAATGTAAGTCAGAGCTTTAAATGCTGCATGATTGATGCACCTATTTTATGTAAATATGCTTTGAATTAGGATCAGTCATTGCAGAAATCTCTTGCTCATGCTATGTAAAGGTGGCTGAAGATATTCTAGGGCCCCTCCTTTCTCCACACAGCCCCCAACAGGCCCCGGTGCCATGCCTCCCAGTCATCCATTCAGGGATGTTGAAAATGAGCGGCTGACTGCCTGAATGCGCTCTAGGCACTGGCAGAGGCTGGAGGGCACAGAATATGTCTCACCAGTGTAATATGAATATGCCTCTTTTACCTCACGGCACCTGCGTGATTTCAGTCAACAGTCTTTGTGTGTGGCATGCTCAAATGCACCCCAATCTGTGTCTCATGTGGGACAAACACAAATAGGTATGAGATTTACATACATGACCCCTCCTTCCTCATGTTTGCCAGCTCAGTCCCCAGCTTTTGTATTCCCCCGAAGCTTTTATGCAGCTGCATCACTTTGCCTGCAGCTATTGTACCCAGTCTCCCCCTGTGGTTAAAACGAAGCACACTTTAGAAACCACATTGAAAGCCTCCTGAGAAAACAAGTTGCCACTCAAAGTGATTTTCCTTCTCACCCTTGAAACAGCTCTATGTTTCACATCCAAAAATAGTTGTGCTGCCACTGTGATCAGAATAGCTAGCTGCTGAATGAACTATTCATGGGACGATATTTTCACTGACTTGTCTCTGTTTGTGTGTGTGTGTGTACATCAGTTGAGCCTGCAGAAGTGATGCTGTTGGGTTCGCTCACAGCCATTGAGGGTCAGGAGTTGAATCTGAGCTGCTATGCCACCTCCAGTAATCCCCCTGTCCAGATTCGCTGGTGGCTGGGCTACAAGGAGCTCAACGCCTCTGTTGTCACTATGGAGGAGGTGAGATTACACATCTAAGCAGGTAGACAAGCAAGAGACAGCGGGCGAAATGAGTTGCTAGTCATCCTGGTAAATTTATAATACTGAAAAAGGGTAGGATTTGTTTCTTTTCTGTGAACACAAGGCAAAAAACATAAAAAAAAAAAAGATCACATAAAGTGCAATAAAGTGCAAATGCTTTGACCTTCAGTCAAGCTTGTCTTAATGGTACCATCAAAAAACTTCTAAAATGTTTCCCAATGAATTAAAAGAATCCTTAATATGAAATTTGACCTCATGCAAACCTTCACAGATGAAAGAAAGTGGTATGACCATGAGCAGTCTCTCAATAGGCCTGCTGCAGCTTTGCAAATGAATCAGCAGCCGATTCCAAAAGGAGTATTCTGCAGCTCTTCTCCTCTTTTGTGTATGTTAATAAGATCAAAGTGAATAAAAGCTGACACAGAAGATGAGCATTATTAAACAAGCTCTTTATTCATCTGGCAGCAGCATTTTCATTTGATCTTACACAAGGCACTCAGTGTGCTGTGTGTGAGCTTTAATGCATCTGAAACAGTGTGAGGTTAATGAAGACTGACGCTCCTGTCCAGGGCCTTTGTTAGTCTTTCTGACTGTGGCTTTTACAGTAATCACCACAATAATAGCTTTAATAACCAGATGTGCTGCATAGGCATGGCCGCTATCAGGCAGGTGCAAAATGACGCTTTGGTCAATTTATAACAGTGTGCAAAGCAGGAGAGTCGGATGAATATGCTTATTTATCACAGACCATGCACAACATCACTTATTACAGCAGCTAATTTGCCATCTGTATTCGCCAAGACAAACCATTGTGGGTTGTTTTTCTCTCTGATTTTTTTTCTCTCTTTCCTAAGACTGAGAATGGCAGAGACCAAGGCTATCTGTCCCCCGACTGAACTGTCATGTGTGCCTTCTGTCTGTAGGGAGACAATGGTGGGATGACAACCATGTCCAACATGACCCACAGGGTCTCCCGGGATGAGAACGGGCTGAAGCTCACCTGTGAGGCTTTCAATAAGGGCACACATTTCTCCAAGACCCAAATCACCGAACTCAATGTCTATTGTGAGTGAGCTTAAGTTTAGTTTCTAAGAGCTTTTGTGTTTTTAGTACACATAACCTGCATTAAAAGGGGAATTAAATTTTGATCTGGTACTAATTATTAAACTTTATCAAAAACGCATTCCATCTGGGTTCAGGAGGGGTCAACAGTAATTAGAACTCTGAATGCCAATAAACACAAAAAGGCAAACATAGCTCTTGACAAGTATAATCATTGACACAGAATAAGCAACTATTTTCCAGGCCTGTCTTATTTGTGCTTAAGGAAGATTTTCACATTGAAAATATACTTAATCTCTGACTTTTCAGTGGTAAGTGAAGCTCTCTAAATACAAAACTGGTCTGCTAAAAATGTAGTAAAACTGTGAAAAAAATCCTCTTACAACAGACCCTCCTCAAAAAGTATGGCTCGATACTCCTCCTCAAGATGTCCCCCTTCGTTCAGGGACCACGGTCCGTCTCATCTGCTTCTCCACTGGAGGGAACCCCCATGGGACTCTGACCTGGTTCAAGGTTAGTGGGTATTGTACATGGATGTGTGTGTTGTACTGTATGTTCAGAATACGTACACTTCTCTGTACAATATCTTTCTTTCCTGTTTTAGAATGGAAGGGTTGTGACAAGTGCACTGAAGCAGACGTCCTTTGATCTGGGTGTGGCTCGAGAACTGGTCCTGGTTCTGACGGCAAGTGACAACATGGCTACCTACCGCTGCGATGCCAGAAATGAGGCAAAGAAGACCATCTCTGCCCACGCTAAGCTCATAGTTCACTGTGAGTTAGTTTTAATCGATAAACTTTACTCCAGTCTAACTCAGCTGAGAGAAAAGCACAATATCAGCTGTGTCATTTTATACTCTTGATCTTCATCTTGATATTAAGATTGTGTTTCCTTGTTTACGTCATGGTGCTCCAGTTACAGCAGTCAGTATGAAGATCACAACCAAACAGGAGGAGCTACGTCGCGGCCAGATGCTAACTCTGGAGTGCCAGTCTGGAAGCAGCAACCCCAAGGCCAACATCTCCTGGAGCTTGGGCTCACTCAGGTTTGGCAAGGCAGCAGGTGGAAAGGCTCATAGCAGACAATGACGCATGTTTCAAAAAAATGATTTGGCTAATTCAGCGTCAGAATGAGTCTGAATGACTGATGTTTATCCTGTTAAATGTAGCAATGGTCATGATTGCCTGGTGAACTTGAACTCCCCTGGTGATTGGATTTGCTGGATGTTATTTGTGTCCTAGGTTCCAGGGAGTGGAGCAACCACCCAGGAAGGCTCAATTTAGTGGTGTGTCAGTGAACAGTTTTCTATCCCTGAATCTGACTTCACAACATCACAACCAGAGGGTCACTTGCCAGGCCAAAAGCCCTGCACTAGAGGAGGGGGCCAACACATTCTTCAAACTCAATGTGCTTTGTAAGTAGAGGGTTAATTGTTAGATTGTTTCTTTATTTCTTCTTCTTGGCGACTGACCAAGAGACGTGGTTTGCATAAACCTTAAACGATGCATAATGATGATCTATGGTGGTGCAGATACTTTTGCACAGAAATGTCAGCATATAGTATGTGTATGTGTGCGTTTTTTTTTTTTTTTTTTACTGGAAACCTTTGTTGTGATTTGTGGGTCTGGTGAGCTCTGCAGCAGTGTGTCCTAATTGCGCATTTGCTTTGCTGCGTGGCCATGTTTGTCTTTGATGCCATTTCACAGGCAGCAGCCAGCCACTGCTTCAAAGCTTGGTACTGTGTATGAGCATGAAGGAATGTCACTGTGTGTTTGTGCAGAGCTGCAGTTGGACAACAGTACTGTCACTCGTCGTTTTCATGCCTGTCCCTCTCCCTCCCGCGTTGCCTTACTCCCCCGTCGTCTAAGTATGTGAAGTTGGTTAGATCTGGAATTACTGGTGGGATGTCGACTTTCTACTGGTTTGACTCTCATTAGTGTCTCTTACTGCTTTCATGCTCAACATGTTTTGTGTCTTTGTGTTCTCTCTAGCCGGTTCTGTTCATTCTGTGGGGCAGAGTTTGTATTTGTTCCTCTGCTCATGTATTTTTGGTGTAAATCCAACTTACTGTAGCTGCATTTGTGTTCCGTTTGTGTGTCAGACCCACCAGAGTTCAGCACACAGCAGCCAACTCAAGTCCAGGTGGTGGAGGATGACATGGCAACCATCCCACTGCTGGTCTCAGCTAACCCAGAGGAGGTCTCCTGCATTTGGCTGCACCGCAGGGAGAAGCTGGTCAAAGGTGATCCAGGGCTGTGTGATGGCTCTATAAACCAGGTCCTAGTTGAGCTGAGCCAGCAAGTAAGCACTCAGCTCTGCCATTCAGGGCCTGAATAAAACATGGCAGGTTAGCCAGCATGGGACCCTGCCAAATGTGATTCTCATTATGGCTCTAATGTATGCAGTCTAAATGAGGATTGCTGTCTCACTGAATACAACACAACGGTTCTAAACCTGGCTTCTCCTCCAGGCCAGTGTCATCAGGGCCCTGCTGCACCCACTCACTTTCTTTGTTAACTCTGTTAGCTCCATCATATGCAGCCCCCACCATAAAATGACTGTATCCTGAATGCGGAAACCCACCTATTACTACATTTTGAGTGCTGTGGTACAGAAGGTGTCTCTCACGCAGCCTATTGTTGGCTTGATGTGGGAATCCAGCCAGGCCAATCAATAATGCAGGATTAGATGTCACTTAGAGACCGGTGGCCAGAGGACATGCGGTTGATGAGCGTGTAATGAATACTTAATTTACAATTGGTTTGCATGTGTGCATGTGTGTCTGTGCGTGTGTGTTTCCATGTTTTGTAAAGAGGGGGATCTGCGCTACCACTGGCTGGACGACAACTCACTGGAGATCAAGAATGTGACGAGGAAAGATGCCGGACTTTACACAGTCCAGTGCACAAATGACGAGGGTTTTGACCAAACCTCCATCATGCTGGACGTTCAATGTAAGAACCTGGACGCAGAGAACAGATGAGCAGAGGCATGCGCCTACACACCTGTTCAGATTTTGTCAGGTTGCCAGTGAACTCTATTCAGGGGGTTTTGTGTTTAATGATAAAGACAGTGTTCCGTGAATCGTTTACCAGTAAAAATTGAAATACCCATAGATTACCCTGCACATATTAAAGATGACATACGTGGCAGCTGTACTGTAATGTGCAACTATAATTCTTTTCCCATGTGTTTTGATAATTTTAGAGTAACCTTTAGAGTTCAGTTAACTTAGAAAGTAAGTTTGATTATTTACAATAGTTTCTATGAATTAATTAAACTTACCCCAGAGCACCTGCTTGAGAAAAAATAGACAAAACAGCAAAACAGAGGAAGATAATAATAATAACATTAATGACAATAAACTTAATTTATTCAGCACTTTTCAAAACAAAGTTACAAAGTGCTTTACATGGTTGAACCAAATTAAAACATTTCAGGACTGCAATCAGGCAAATCAAATTTGAAAATGGTAATAAAATAGTGTGTTAGCATTAATGAAAAGCTTTTTTAAAAATAAATATTTTGAGAAGTGATTAAAAAGATGCCCCTGATTCTGCAAGCCTCACTTCAGAATCTGAAAATAAGAGCAAAGGATGGGAGAGACAATACTGGAAATTATACTTATAATCTTTTTTTTTTTTTACCCTCCTGCAATCCATTCATAATTGATCAATCATTTTTTTCTGTTTCTAAGGTGCCATCTCTGCAGGTATACCTCTGGGCCCTGTGGGTCAACCACATCATTTACCTTTTTCCTTTAAATACAGAGAATGAGCAGAAACATTCTTATTAATATTGCAAATTGTCCATATTGCTCATTGGATTTGAATCAGTTGGATGCTAACAGTATGTTTTTGAACTTGCCCAAAGCTACTAAGTATCAGAACCATCAGTGCATCACACTTGCTGACACACCCAGATAACAACATTGACTTTCAGCTCCTGTCCGGCAAACATGCCTCATTAATTAGGCCTCCATGCAAGGCCGTCCACTCCACTGCTGCCCCAGGCCCAGCCTCGAGCTCCAGGCCCTCTGCCCCGATACTGATGATTTAATAATGGAAGTGCTGAAAATGTAGGTCTGCCTGTTTCACCAAAGCCCATGGTAGACGCCTAATGGATTCTGCCGTCCTGATCTGACTGGGCTTGACAGTTGTAGATATTCATTATGTATGGAGGATTGTAGTAGCTTTTATGGGTGGCGGTGTAGTCCACTTAACAATGTCGGTCTTGGTTAGCAGGCCAACATGGGTAGATCCCACCAACCCAGAGGTCTGTGTCTCTCTAGTGTTTCCCACCACTGTTCTTCAAGTGTGAACATAGGTTTAGACAAGTAGGCACTAATGGCCTTATTTTTGCGAGAACATGGCACTCATGGGAAGAATAAAAAGCTTGTGAGGTAGAGAATAAAGATAAGAAGAGGAGCTCTGCAGTGAGGAAGGAGAGAAGATTTGATGAAGAGAGGAATCAGGGGAGGGGGAATTGGTCAGTCTGTCATAGTCCATATTGTGATGTGCCGTCAGCGGAGGGCCTTGTGGGTCACGTGCAATTCTGAGTTTGATCGCAGAAGCATTTGTAGTCCTCCAACATATAGAGAGGTTAATGGCATTGTATTTGAAACTCAGAGGCCAATTAAGACAGGGTTATGAACACGTTCAAAGGCAAACGAGTGTAAGAGTAATTATAGAAATGCAGCATGTCTGTTAAATGGGTTGGCAAATGATTTGTCCCAGGTTGGCCTGTTAACCTTTGGTCCTGCCTCAGCCTTGTCCCGTTTTCTTCCTCTCAGATGCTCCCAGTGTCAAGGCAGAGAAGGACCCTGTGTTTGTGAACCTTGGGGAAACAGCAGACCTGATATGTGTGGCAGATGCCAACCCCATTATACCTGACATGTTCTCTTGGAAATTTCTGGTGAGTGCTCAGGTACACACACACATGCATACACAGAAACACAGCCATACCCTGGATTATATTTCCCTTATCTGGCTTTCTATTATTTTATCCGTTCTTACCGTTTATCACTGGCCTTTCTAAATGCGCGGATGCACCATATTTCACTGGCTCTAACTATCCTTCCACCCCACCTCTTCCTGCTCCACACTCAGCCCAAATTCAGAAAAATAGCTTTCATTACTGCTGCGTGACTAAAGGGCACATTCGTCAATGTGGCGTGGTCTCTGTATCCACTGATGCCTTCTCCAGTCTAACCCACCCCCTGGCTGTACTGTGTGTCCCGCTTTCAACCTGCACAGACCCTCATTTTCTCTTTCCCCATGGCTCTCCAACCCTTGGCATTATCCTTCTCTGTCCTCCGAGCTCGTTCCCCCGACGCCCTTCCCATCCCCACCTCAAGCTCTGATGGTTTCCTGCTCAACTCTCCCTCACTGTATTCCTGTCTTGCTCTCGCACAACTCCAGCCCTCACCCAGGAGGAGGGGAGTGTGTATTGAGGGATAGCTGCTGTCTGCCAGTTATTCCCTCTCACTCTGTCTTGCACAGGGAGAAGGGGAGGTGGAGTTGGGAGAGGAGACTCAGGAAGACGAATCTGGCCTTCTGACCATCTATGATGTGACTCGGGCTCATGCTGGTCTTTACCAGTGCACAGCCAATAATGGCATAGCACCCCTTGCCACTGTAGACGTGCGGCTAGTAGTGCAATGTAAGTTTGTAATATTTATTGTCAGTGTCAGAGAGGAACAAAACATACATGGAGACTTGTGGGAACGTTCACATCTTTGTTTGTCACTAAATACATGTGTACATTTACCTCTTTATTGTGTTTGGTTTCTGCATGAATAACCTTCATGCTCATCTTGTCTCATGTAGTCAAACCAGAGCTTCAGAAAGGAGCCCAGTGGAGGAAGGTGGCAAGTAGAGGGGATGGCACTTCTACAGCAGAGGTAGTGTGTCAGGCAGAGGGTATTCCCCGTGTCGACTTCTCTTGGGAAAAAAATGGTGTACGCATGGACTTTGCAAACCCCAGGTCAGAGAGTACACTTTATTGTATTTCAAATGCTGTTCTTGCCAGCCTCTTTACTATTAACTTGTGCTACTGTCAGCATTTTGTTACATATTGATGAATCCTCACAATTATATTAGGTTTTACCCTAGTATAATGTATTCTTTTGCGATTTCTTTCTATTTCACCACTAAATCCAGATTTAGTGCGTTTTATACTTTGCTTCTCACTATGCAAATACCTGTTTAAGGTTTCTTTGATGTGTGAAATTGGGTGACTTAGTGCAATCTGCAGGACATCACAATCCCTGCTGTCTGCCTGTTCAGGATTTATCTCTCTTTCTCTGTGTTTTTTGTCTGTGTGTGTGTGTGTGTGTGTGTGTGTGTGTGTGTGTGTGTGTGTGGCGCGCGCGTACGTGCATGCTGCAGGTATGAGGAACGGACCGTGCGGGAAGGCTCCTACCACACCAGCACAGTTCGAGTAGTAAATGTGAGCGCAGTTCTGGACTATGCTGTCTTCAGCTGCACTGCTCGCAACTCACTTGGGGAAGACAACCTAGACATCCAGCTCGTCAGCACAAGTACATTTGTGTTTCCTGTGTGTACCGGTCTCTGGGTGGATGAGTTCTCCATATCATCAATTGTCTATGCGAAAACCGTGTATCTCCAAAACGTCAACTTTTCATGAACTAAGACAACCTTGTCTCAGCAATGTAGCAATGCATTTTTCAGATCCTCCAATGGGTCTTTCAAAGGTTGGCTTCAGATGTAGGAGAATTTTCTCATTTCGAAAAAAAAGCAATACTTGATCCTTCAGTTTAGTTTTTCAAAATCACCAAACTTTCTAGATAGTTTTTCCTTGGGCAGCAACAATGTGCAAACATTTTTTTTTTTTTCAAATTGAATCAAATTACTCTGTTGTGTGGAAGGGTCACTAGTAATACCAAGCCATTGAGAATAAAATCTAATTCTGCAGCTTCACAAAGCTTAGACGTTTATTTCTCATGGTTTTAGTTATCTGGCCTCAACGTAGACTTTATGGTTATAGTCTTACCTTTCTCATCAATGCCCCCTAGTGGTACAAAAAACTCCTAATGCAGCTTTAAATGAATGGCAAATGATCAAAGTCAGTAGTTAGGGCACACAACATGTAAGGATTATGCATATCACGTACTTGGCAGTGGGGCATACATTTTTCCTTTGGTTCTAATTTGGCAGCATCTCAAAATAATTGTGTCTGTGCTGCTTTGTCCAAGGTTTATCAGCCTTTTCCAGCAACATTACAATAGTGTGGGAGTGCCATTGAACATGCAGAATTCTGTAAACTGAAGAGAGTTGTTGCTCCTGAGTGTCAGCCCTTTAAGGAACTTATTCCAGTGCTCTATCTCTACCTTATCATTTAGCCCATAGCACTACTCCACTTCTCCCTCAGATAATGCTGCAATGATATGCTTTGCTCTCCTGGCGTGCTTAGACTTTTCTGCCTTCAAGCTACCACTGTATCCTTGCACCACCGCCATTATCAACACAGCCTTGCTCTCAGCAAAGGCCCACAGCCATCATTGGACACATTTAATGTTTACTATAAAAACCATAAAATACAATCCAATATCGGCCCTGTTTTTCCCTAGTCGTGTTTTTAGTGCTGTGAATATTCATAATTAATCTGACACAGTGATAATACATTTTATATGCTTCCTTATCATTTTAGAGCCCAAGAGGATGAGAGTTTTTTTTTTCCTTAGCATGGTGCTTTTTGGATTTGAAGGAGACGAGATCCAAATAAGACTGACCTCTTTGCCCTGGAATCTTATGAGTGGAGCTGATAGTGGGAATTATTTACTCTGCAAACTGGGCTGCAGCCTGGAGCTAGAGACGAGTGGAGCATCCCCTTCTTATGTTGCTGCTCAACTATCTCTCTTCCTTCTCTCCTTGCCTATCTCTCCCTCTGCCCCCATAACCACCCTTCTTTTTTCCATGCTCCAAATGCAAAATAATCCACTTTCCCTTCACTACCCTGACTGAAGTGGTGCCTCATGTCAGACTGTAGGCCTGGTTAGCCTCCTTTGATCTCTGTCCACAATATTGATAATAATCAAGAGGTTTCATCCTTCATTGCATGACTTAAATTGGACAAATCATTCAGTTGGTTCTGAGAGGGATCAGCTATAGCTCTACCCATGTTTTCCTGAGCATTCATACAACAAAGCACAACCTTAAGAAAAAGCAGATAAGGAGTGATGCACTGTTAAAAAATGCAAAGCTGCTGCTGTCAAAAAGATGTTCTTTGGAGCCAGTGGAATAAACTGTGATTAGGAAGAGATAAAAAAAAAAAAAAGAGGCTTCGGAGGCTCACTGACAAGTTTTGACCACGGTCATCATTTCTCCTCCGTGATTTAATTTGATTCACTCTTATTCATTATTTATCATCAGCTGTTATAATCAGTTTTCTTTTTCACATATTTTTAAATCTGCCACATTTAAAATGCTGTAGTATGTAAAAATCTGCGAGAGTCACATGTCACAGCCTGAAATCATATAACAATTTCATCCAGAAATTATCAAGCATTTTGCTCTAAACAGCTATTACTAGTCATTCTGGCACACATATCTAATGAGAATAATTACATTTTCAAACACAATTGCATGACCAATAGAAAAAGTGAGAATATCTCAATTAATTCTTTTCTTCTGTTTCTATGAAATAAAATGCCAGCTCTGCTCTCACTTCTAGCAATATCATTTTGTCTATTTATAACCACTCCAAAGCAGAGGCCAGAGGCGATGCACGATACTATAGGCCAGCAGGGCCTCATGTGTTATTTCTGTAGATATAATCACTCGATTTCTTACCACCTAAAGCCTTTTCAAACAGCCACCTATCGAATGAAGATGTTCTGCTCCTTGTCAGTATTCTTGCAAAATTGAGAGCACATTTGATTTTTACACATTTCTTCTTCTCTTTTCTTTCGTCCTCAGACAGCCCAGATCCTCCTTCATCGTTTCGCCAAGTCGATGCCACCCACGACTCAGTCACTCTGGAGTGGATCCCTGGCTTCAATGGTGGTTTGCAGCAAAGATTTCGTATAAGGTGAGATGTCAATAAAGGATGTTGGTTTATGAATGACACCCCTAATCAATGAGTTGTATTTGACAGTGACTTTTGGATGTCAGATACCTTTGGGATCAGGTAGCCAGTTTCCTGTACATGGACGTATTTCCTCCTGGCGCAGCAACCTTCAGTGTCACTGGCCTGCAGCCTGTCACCACCTACAACTTCTCTGTTAATGCCCTGAATGCGATGGGAGAGAGTGGCTATGCTGACAACAATGCAGTACTGACCATAACCACCAAGGGTCAGTTTGGAGTAACCCCAGCTTGACACTGAAAGGACTCTACTGTACAATGAACTATGGTACCTTTAACATAATGATTACAAGTGTCTTTCTCTACAGAGAGGCCAGAACTAGAAGAAGTCCCAGCAGATGATGACTCAGTCTCACAGAGTAAGTCTTTTATCACAGCTCCCTGAAAAAGCTCTTAAGGGCAGTTGGAAATTGCTGTTTGCACAGCAGCTAGCTTCATTTTGGCTAAATCATGTTAATGTATGCACCTCCAAGGCTGTTAATGTTTGCTCTACGAGAGTAGCGGTTGTCATGGCACCCACCCATACTTTTTCCCCTCTGCTAGTCTTTAATCAATAAAGACAATTGAGAGAGTGGTTGGGTCGGTCTCAGTCAGTTTTTATCTTCCCGAATTTCCATATTACTTCCTCTTTAACTTTCATTGTTATGCATTGAGCTAATGTTTTTAATGTTTTGTGAACTAGGTGCAAGTGGACTGCCAGCCTATTTCACAGTAGTGTTCACAGTGGTGCTCGGAGTTGTGCTGGTATTGAATTCGCTGGGCTGCTTCTTTGGATTGAAGTGGAAAAAGAGGCGAGGTCAGACAGGTAACCATAACAACCTTTTCAATCCTTGGATGTGAAGGTGTTTTCCCCATTCCTGTCATTACAATGTCCTGATTCCTCAACATAACTCTAAGGAGATAACTCTAAACCATGACGCAATTGTCAGCTCAGCCTCTCACTCTCTTCTCATCTTTCCATGTCCCCTCTTTCTTTCCATCTATCCTGTCTCTTCTTCTTCTGCTCATTCTCTTAGCCACTACCTCCTGCCACATTCATCCTTCAAAACTGTCACTTCTCTGTTGCATCCATTTCTTTTATCTCATTTGCTCTCTTTATGTCCTTCTTTCTCTCCTTCTGTTTCTTTCTATTTGTTCTCCAGTCTAACTGTCAGGTTCTCCCTTCTGTATCTTTTATTTTTTATTCCTCACCTTCCTCTGCCCTCTGGTTTTCACATAGATTTTCACAGTTTGCTTGCTTTTCGTTCACTCTCACTGTCTCTAGCCCTTTTACTGCTCTGATCAATTTCAGTTCTTATGAGATGATGCTCCTCTCTTCAAGTTCTAATTTCCTAACACTAAGCTGCTTTCCTCTTGTTCCTGTTCCCCCTGCAGGGGGTAGAGGGGGCAGTGTGTTGGACGGAAAGAAGAACGAAGAGGAGGGGTAAGTAAAGGCCCTGCAGTAGAAGTAATAAAGAGACACACATCCAATCCACTCTAAGAAGACTGAGACCTGATCCATTGGCTGACCCAGCCACTAAAACAGCCAGGCGGGCAAAAAAAAGTCTCTGTCAATATCCATTTATATTGGTGTCATCAAACTTACACCACAATCCTGCAATAAACGGGTACCACATGATACTTTCTTATTAAGAACTTAATGAATGCATGAAAAAAAGTTCCTATGTGTGCTGAGTTTTTTGCATCTCTTGTAGTTCATATTGGAGATTAAGAGTTGCTGGGAAATAAATCAATAAGTGCAAGTAGATGACAGAATCTGATTTCTCCTTGTAGGTCCAGTCAGTCAACTGTAAGCAACTCCAATAAGTACGAAAGCAGAGAAAAGATCAACGTCGCAGCCCAGCGCACCCTCCTCATCGACTCTGGATCCGAAACAGACAGCAATGTCTATGAGAGCTATGCGGCGGTAAGAACGGTAGAGGAGGAGGAAGAAAGGGAAGAGCGGGATTGGAGAGAGAGAGAGAGAGAGAGAGAGAGAGAGAGAGAGAGAGAGAGAGAGAGAGAGAGAAGGGCAATTGAGAAAATATGCAGAGACACAGAGAAGGCTGAGTAAACAGATGAGGGGAGGAAGAGGTTAGGCAGGGGGTGAAGGAGAGGAAGTGGAGAATTCAGCCATAACAAGGAAAATGGATAGATAAACTAATGAAACCTTTAGCTGTGCATAGAGATGGAACATAGATCAATACCTCACAATTAGCATTCAAAATACACATCGATCTCGGAGAAATTATCATTTTGTACTTTAAAGGGGCCAACAAGGATTTGAACCTTGACGAAAACTGTTGAGTGAGGTAGAAGAAAACAGATAGCAGTGTGCTGTCAGGATGGGGTATAATGAAACTTCAAATCCCCACAGAGCCAGGCTTTATCTATCCCCTAATTTAAAACAGTACATACCTGTAAGGGTTGGTTCAGCCAAATTACGAAAAAAAAAAAAATCTATTTTCTCACTTACTTGTAGTGCTATCTAGCCCTGAGTGCAGATTGTTTTTTTTTACCAAGGTCTTCTGTGCCTGAGATATCTGCCTACATCCCAGTTCAGTGGAGGTGGTCCTCACAGTATTGAAAACAACAACATTTCATACTATAAACAATATCCCCATTACTTTGGATATTCCACAGATTTTATTGTCAACCATTGTTGCAGGGACTATATCTTCTGTCTCTCTTTGGTTGTTCTAATTAAATCTGTTCACCCATGTTGTAGAAATCCAACCCAGAGATCCTGGAGATGGATACATTAAGCAAGAAAATAAACCCAAACCTATCTGCATGGTTGAATTCTTCTACAGGCTATTATTCTATATACTATACTACTATAATTTGAGTGAACCACCCCCTCCCCCCACACATGTGGAATTGTTATTTACTTGATGTTACTTAAGATCAAACTGATGTTCTCTCTCTCCTGTTTAATTTATTCCAGGAAAGTTCCCATTATTATTACCCCACCGGTGACTACATGCCGCCTCTCAGTCCACACCCTGAGGAAATGCGTAGACTTGGTGAGACACAAATATACTACAGTAAACAAAGGGACTGTAAACACATAACAAGTCCAAAATATGATATAGTCTGAGCCAGCCAGGAGCTGACCTTGTTTGAACTTAAGCCTTAAGCTTAAAACTTGGCACAGCTGGAGTGTTTTCTGATTTATCTTTATGCTCACCATTAGCAATTATTCAAGTGTGAAGGATTGTAAATATATTTGTCCATATTTATGTTTTGTATATGTGTTTCCATGTGCGCTTCGAGATGTCACCCACCTCCCCGTGGACTCTCACAGCCATCTGTATGAAGATGTAAGAGACAGGGGTCTGTACCAGGACATCCTGGCTTCCTCTCTTCCGTCTCCTCTGCCCTTGCCTGACCACAGATTGCCTCATCAAAGGACTGAGTGGAGATCACCAACCCACCCTCAGGTCTGTAAACAAAGCCCAACCTATGATGAGAGCTCCTAGTTGATGCATTATTCACATTAATTAATATCACAGTTCAGTTGCAAAATAAATTGTTTATAAAAGGTAGATGATAGTCTGTGGCTTTGTTGTGTATTTAACTGAAACCGATATTCAATCTGTCTCTCAGCAGGGTACGGAGAAAATGAGGCAGTTCATGGGTGTTCGACAACCGCAGAGAGATTCTGATCTTCCCTTTGAACTACAAGGTGAATTAGTCTAGAATGAGAAGGTCAGCGCAAACAAATACGCTGACAGGGCTTGTGACTCAACAGAAGTCACTGAATACTGTGGTATTTTATTCCCTTTGAATATGTATGATAGTATAGTATGTCACAAATCACCTTGAATCAACCTATCACAAGAGAAGGAAGAATACTTGTAAATGTCAGTGAATACAGTATTTCACTGTCAAGTGTTAGGGAATCTTAGTGTATATATTGTTAAAATTGAATGATTTGCTCAAAGGACTGGGTTGACTTACAGTAAGGTACTGTATGGCAACTAAGGAAGCTAAACAGAAGCAAGGCAGAATGGCGGAACGCCTCTGTAACCTCATGTAATCAAGAAAGAAAAAAATGTTCTGTTGTATAATAGCACAAGTTTATTTTCTTCTCCCTCCTCCCTTGACCTCACTGTTCTTTCACCTTTACCCTCTTTCTTTCTTGGGGCCAAGTCACGGTCACTACCCACACACCACCAACAACCCCCCCCCCCTTGATTTGGCCTGCAGGTACACATGAATCAGTCACTTAGACACAAAAATGGACTGACAACGCTGTGGTTGGCACTAGGGCAGAAGCACTACAGACTCATGGTACCATCCAAGCAGACAACATCCTTTTTGATCCATCCAACGTCAACAAATTCTAACATGTATCCACATGAGAACCTGACAGCAGTCGCCTGTCCCTCTCCTGTCTCATACAAAGAGCTCAAGACCTCACAGTTAGACCGTGGGAATCCGTACAATGGGATAGTACTGAGTGGTATTTTGCACGGTTATGTCTTCGGGAGGTAAAGCCATATCTAGGGCCAGACTCTAATCCTGTTTTCTCTCGGATTGGAGTTCAGCTCACAGCATCAGGGAGAGAGAAAACCCATGCAGGGAATTTGTCTCACTGAGGGTGGACAGTTGAAGAGATAGGGACAGGAAGAGAGGGTTAGGCTAAGCTGCTACTGTGGCTACTGCTACAAAAAACTCTCCTCTTCCTTTGGTTTTCAGTACAAACTGTAGTTCAAGGAAAAGCAGTTCGCTGTATAGCTTTAATCCATAGCCTATACAATAATTACAGTCTTTATTTATAGAGCACTTTGAAAACACTTTGAAAAACCAAAGCTTCTTTACACAATACAGCAAATTAAAATTATACAAATTATAAATTCTAACAGGATCCTAATGGATTAGATTTTATACAAGATCAGATACAACCAATTCTAGCAATATAGGATGAAATAAATAAAAAGACATTTTTAAGTAAAATAAAGCAAGACTAAGGCTACGTTCACACTGTAGGCCATCGTGGGTAAATTGTTTTTTTGCTCATATGTGACTCAGATCTGTTTTTCACTTTCATATGTGATTAAAATCACACTCTTACTCTCACTCTGGATTGACATTCATCACAATTCTGCACTGATGGGAATCACAAACAATGGAGGTAGTCAGTGGAGGGACAGTGAGGTGTTAGACCTCATAAGTATGACACTTCTGTAAGCAAAACTTGAGGTTTCAAATTGTCAGAATCAGAAATACTTTAATAATCCCCATGGGGCATTTACTTATAACCGTGTGTAACCGTGTGTTTCCTCTGATTCCGCATTAACACACACACACACACACACACACCCTCTTTACAGAAGTAGCAACAATTGCTCCACAAAAATTAAAAACGTGATTTTCTTTCTCCTTATCCTCGGCCTCGTAATTTTCTGGCTTCCACTACACATCAGTGTTCACTTAGGATTGTACTTATGACATGTTATTGTTCTTTCCTGCATGCGGCCTGTTACCTGTTCACACTGGAATCTGAAAAAAGAATGTGAACAGCCAAACAAAAAAATCAGATCTGAACAATATCAGAATTGAGCGCTAAGTGTGAACATCTACAGCCATGCTAGCTCTGTGAAGCTGTACATAGACGGAGCAGTGTTTTGAGCTTAACGCTGAACATTATCGTGCTAACATGCTCACAATGACAACGCTAACATGCTGTTGTTTAGCAGGTACAATGTTTATCCGGTTAGCCTTCTTAGTTTAGCGCGTTAGGAAGCCAAGATTAGCAAATTAGCATCAAAGTGCATCTTTGATACACCAAGGTCAGTTTAGGATTCATCCTAAGGGGGACATGAATGTTTACATTTCATAGCAATCCATCCAACAGTAGCAGAGATATTTCAGTCTGGATCCAAGTGGTGCAATTGCAATCCATAGAGCCATGCTGCTACCATGGCTAAAAAACAAATAAAGTCAGTTGTTAAAAGTGTATTTTAAGAAGAGATTTAATAAGATGTCACTGACTCAGCCATCCTACTTTCTTCAGGCAGGACATTCAAGAGCCAAGGCCTTCACTATCTGACCAATATCTGTTGATGATGTACATTTCAAGCTGCAGACTGATGCTGTCATTGACCTGCCAGCCTGCTGAGAAAATGCAGAACACCTGCAAAAATAGGTGCTGTCTCCCTGTATTATACTATGGGTTTGTGTGCTCTTTGTATTTGTGTAACTTCCTCTTTAATATATTGTGCAGAGATCAGACACTTCCTCAAAGTTTCCACGGCTCCTTTTTATTCCTGCTGCCTTGTAGTATGCACAAATAGTGACTGGGCTTTTATTATATCTGCACACAGAGCCGTTATGCACGCACCCTGTTCCTGCTTCCAGTTTCTGCTTTTCCCCCCAAGCACGATTTGTCACATCAGTCTCATGAGTACACACGTAACACAGATAACTCAGCACAGACAACACATATAGTCCAATGAGACACACGTACAAAGAATAAAGCGTATAATCTTTATTTACTTTTCCTCAATAGAAAACCCCACTTTTTCTACTTTGATGGTTTGCTTCATGAGTTTATTTTCAGAGCATTATTTGCCCTGGAAATATTTATTAACAGTATGTGAGAGGTGATATTTAAACCCTGGTGAGGATGTTATAGTCCACACATTCGTCCAAGCCACAAAAATGCTGTTTCTTCAATGAGGGCCTGACTGCCTGGAAATAAATCTCAATGTTTCACAGAGCTGCGTTACCTCAATTAGGCTCGCTATTCTCCATCATGAGCTGTCAAGGTATGTTTGTCTCATTACTGAACAATTGTTTAAGTTCCTGTCAAGCTGACTGCTGTGTTCATACCAAAGCCTCTTCATGATGCATCATTTCGGCTCAGGCAGGAACGATAATCTGCTAAACTGAAGCCTTGACAGCTCAATGCTGTATGTCAACTTCTATTTTTCCTCACTTGCCTCGTGAACATTTTGATATGTTTTGTTCAGAAGAATCTCAAGGGAGCTCGAACATACAGGCTGCATGAGTGCACAATTAAGTCAAAAGAGAAACAAATAAGAGACTTTAATTACCTCAGCTCCTGGAGAGTGCTTTCACATCCTTTGTTACCCCTCTCCTGATTTTCTTTTTAACAAAACAAATATGAGATTGAATAATGCTTTTTTATCACTTTAACAGGTTGTGCTACCAGTGGGGAGCTAACTCAAATTTAACTCAAATTTCTGCAAACCATGTCATTGCTCTCATTATTCAGATTTTTCAATTTGAACTAAATAGAAATCAAATCAAAAGCAACCACAGGTTTTACAAATTAGAACATGATTTTACTGGCAGTTATTATGACTCACTTTGTGACTCCTGTTGTCAGTAATGAGGATGTAATTTGCCCTCCAATGTGGATGAACGAATACATCTTAATAAATACAACAGCAGTCCATGAAAGATAACTCGGAAGTAAAAACACAATTAATTTTTAATTTTGATGAGGGCAGATCTGAAAGCATATTGAAAGCTAACAGAGCATGTGATCCTTTTTAATTATAGATGAATTTGATGTCAGGCCATAGTGTATGTATTGTACCAGACCACATGGAAAGGCACGAGTCATAAAACTATACCACAAATTGCTTATACAGTGTTGCAGAGAGGGAACTAAGAAAGTCGCTTCACACAACAGTCCACATTTGTCTCTATTTAAGGTAGTGTAGGCTTTATTAAACAAAATAAAAAATCCAGGCAAGCATTAAGCAAGCATTTACCCAAAGCTTAACAAAAGAATTTGTTTTTTCAAGTCTCATTTAAACCTGAGTATATTTTTTGTTTTTCATACGTAAGCACATTTGAATACACACATCTCTCTCTCTCTGCATCTCACTCATTTAAATGCATACCTACTCCCACTCACACACTAGGATAAAAAAACGAGCAAAGGGACAAAAGAGAGAAAAAAGAACATAACAAGTGGTTATTATTAACTCAGAGTCTCATGACATACTGTACAAATACATGTGACAAATAAAAAAAAAATCACTTCATGTACTGTTTTTGCTATTGAAGTATACAGGTCACTGCTTTTGAAAGACCTCATTATACTGTATGTACCTATGTCTGAAATGTATTATCAACACATGTCTGTAAAACCACAGCCTTACACAAAATAAATATTGCCCAACAAGTATTACGGAAGTAAATGTTGTATTGCGTTGTATTATAACACAGTGATGTGTAGATGACTGTAATTGGTCTCTTATAACTTGTCAGGGTACATCTCATAATATGATTGGCTGGAGGAATAACATTTTCGACTGAATTTTTTTTTAATATTCTGTGTCTGAACCTGAGAAAAATGTAACATTTTGCTAAGGAAGGTCATGATACAAACTGTGTTTAAATGCTTATTAAAAAGTGCAAGAATGTCTGTAGAGAAACCATAAAAACGTGACAAAGGGCAAGCTGATGCAAAAGCACTCTGGACAAAGACCGTCCTCTGCTCTGTGTATGAATTGCAGGCTTTGTCTGTGGTAACAGTCTAGGTTTGTGCTCATCAGTTGGGTAATGCTGTTGGGTCGCAATAACACACCAGTCCTGTAGCCTTGAAGCAATAGTTGAAATATCTGGAAAAAAAACCTGAGGATTTAACAGGTTGGGTTTGTCACTGCTTAACTGGATTTCAGTGTGATAAACATGGAGCAGATGATCTTCTGTGGTCATATGTCATGCAGTTGATGTGTGTTTGCTTGGTAGCAAAACAGAAACATTTTAAAATGTATTCAAGAAACAGAACTGCTTCTTCAATGCTTGTTTAAAAGGTTGGTATCCAAAGGCAAATATTTCTTTACAGCCACACATTTCAGAGAGTTAAAGAGGATATTTAATAAAACACTCACAATTTCCTCCTATATGTACTGCATTTTTGAGTGACTGCAGATATATCAACAATTTCTCATTACAACAGAGCCATTCATTTCTTGTCTGTGAGGCAGCTACATGGACACAGATGATAGATGGACATGTGGACAGAAAATATTGTATAAACATGGAGAAAGAAAGGATGACAGACAGGCAAACACAATAAAAGACAGCATACAGTAGGGAATAGAGAAATAAAGTAGGAAGTCAAGCCACCATGCTGAGAGTCGGTTGAACTGCAGACAGAGATCATACCGGAGTGAGTGAGAGTGAAAAAACCCAAAGAACAAGAAGGAGGAGGCCATGTCAGGAGAAAGCGTGGGTGAGCGAGAGACTGAAACAGAGTTCAGACAATTGGATGAGGAAGTAGTGATGGGTGAGCACATGGGTGTGGTTGGCCGTTACCAGTTACCCCATCATCAGAAGTGACATACAGGGGAAGCATCTTCGATGACGAGGCTGTGGCTAAATCTGTGGACTCGGGCACCTCGCAGGATGAATACTAAGGTAAGCATAATAGCCTGGATGGATGACTAAATATCAGAGGGCTGTTTTGGTGAAAGCGAACTGAAGGGAGATTGATGGAGGATGACAGACAAACGGATGAACAGACAGACGGGAGAGTGAGTGAGAGTGCTAGATGTGACAAACGGGCAGGCAGGTCAGACTAGGGGAAGGGAAAGACGCCTGTACAGCCCAAGGGAAACAGGCCTCATCTTGACATATGCTCTGGAGAGAAATGAAGATTGGCATGACCTGCTAATCTGAGCTGTCACAGCTCATGACGGCCACGGACGCTCACCTGTCACACTGTTCCAAGCCTGGAGGACGAGCTGCCACCAGGATAGGTCAAAGATCGAGATTAATTTTCTGCTGGGGGTGCATTTGAACCAAGCCACTGGCCTAGACTTCCATTTGTTACTCTACCCACCTCTGCTGTACCTGCTTGGCAGCTGTTGTTCTTTGTATTGCTATGCAATCATACAATAATGGGCATGTTTTTGCGTACTTTTGTTTTTCTATAGTGTTTTGTTTCAAGCTAGGGGCAAGCTGTTGTGAGGGGGAGGAAAGAGCCGTTTTTTTCCCCACTGATTCAGAAAATGTTGCTCACCACCACAGGATTTCCATTATGTTAAAAAAGAGTTGTTTTGACACATTTTTTTTAATTGGTGACAGCAGCAAACTGTGTGCAAATATGGGAAAGTTTGATCAATAGTGCCATAAAGTTGAACACAGACACGTGTGGGAGGTTTGCATATACAATGCGCGGCCTCGATCACTCATTGTTGACAAATGTAAAAAAAGAATTGTGGTTATGATGTGCGTGCCTTACAAAGTTTGACATTCAAAGTAAGGATCTGTTTTCTGTCATGCTGCATGATAAATGCGTGTGCTTTAGCAGGAAGGAGAAATGAACATGTGGTGCAAAACATAAGTGTGTCTACTTCCTGTCTGTTTGCACTGTACAAAATGTTCCAGAACAAATGCTCTCTTTCTTCAATAGTCTAAGCAGAGCCTAAGCTTTGACTTGCCATTCAGTGTATGTTGTTCACCTTGTACTCTGCCCTGGTTAAACAACAAAACCATGATCAGACACTGTATAAATTAACAGCGATTTCTCTGTGTGCTAATGAGCAGACATTTTGTTTGGATGTTGTGTATCTGCCCCAGTCCTCTGCAACAGATGCATCACAGTGTCTGCGTTATTATGAGCTGTCTTCGTGTATAGAGTCACCTGTGATATCTGAGCGGCTCTGGATTACTTTCCAGATCTTAAATACAGTGGTTGAGGTCATTTCAATCTTAAAACCAGAAGTTGTGCTAAAATTGCACAAACTGAAATGTAATTTGTTAATTACAGTCTCTTGTTGAGATATACCCTATTGTATTGGTGTTTGATGATGGCAGCCTCTGTAAAGGATTTTTTGATATTAAGTTAAATGTAGTAATTTAGTTAATTGTTTAGCTATGACTATGAATAATTTTAATCTGAAATCAGTGCCTTTATTTTTGGTTTGCATAACCACAGGTTAGTACAGTGAATGAATACTGGGGTTCTGTAATCAGCCACTGAACTCCAATATCAACCTTGTTTACACTTTCTGCATCATTGTTTTACCTCCTCTCATCTGTTTCTTTCTTTCAGACTTATTTTTTTTCCTTGACCTTTTTCCTCTTCGTCATGTTAAAAGGTGAGTGCAAACAAACTCACATTTAAACTGAGTTTAAACCGAGTCTATACTGAACAGCAGCCACTTTGGTCCCAAATCACAATTTCAGGATAGTCGTATGCCGAAATGTAAATGCAGTAATGTAGCTTTATAATAGTACAGGCAGCGACGAGTCATAAAGTCAGCAAACTGACTCGCTAATGTCAGTTACACAACAGTATCTAGCAATAGTTTGCTAACATTAGCCACCATAAGCTACTGGTCCTACCACGCCAAGCAAGACTGGCAGAAAAACCCTTAAGCGTATTGAACTGATTAATATTTTACTGCTTATGAGTTCAACATATCATTTGTAAGAGGCAGAATGTGATATTTCTTCTTTCAAAAGTATTGTGTGTCGCTTTAGGCTGCAGCTTAGAAATTAGCTGGCTAAATGCTCAAATTCATTACATCATCAGGGTTAAAACTGATGAACCTCCTACAGAGCCACAGAAAACATTATAACAGTGTTTTCTCAGGCTGATGATGACTAGTACGCCTCGTTATGAGTAAACATCCTACTGTGGTTAAGAGGTGGAGTTCCCCTTTAAATGCCTGGAAATTTACATAAAGGCAGATCACAAATATATATAATAGTATTTAATGTTCATAAAAACAATAATGTAATAAGTTCTAATAATGATGTGGGTCCTTTAGTCAACACCACTCATTTAGAAGACACATATTTCAGACTGAAGGTACAACTTTATCTTAGTCCATAAGGGATAAGCTCACACTGAACTGCAGCTATTAACACAATACAAATGGTTTATTACAAACAAAATCAAGGGTTTTTTTTCCCAAACACAATATCTAACACATCAAAACTTCCCTCCCCTCATACGGGTTCATTAAAGTAGTGGGAATCACAGCATTAGCCCAAGAAAGTGGCGGTTTTGTAGAGCTTCAGCACTAATTGGAAGGTGCTGAGTGAGTAAACAGACAACGGCTTCACTGTCCTGCAGTCACACACAACAATCCAGCTCTGTTGTAGCCAGAGGTTTTCTAAGAGCTACTTCTTTGTAACTGTGCCGCGCTGCCCTACTCACAGCACTGCTACTGTGACATACTCTCAATGCAAATGCAGGCCTCTCTCCCCTGCATGGCCAGACGCATTCTCAAAGTACGGCCTCTGCCAGGAATACATCACAGCATTGTTTGAGAGAGTCACTGTGATACAACAACACTGTTCTTTGTTCTTCCTGTAAACTGTATTGAGGCCCCGCCATGAGGCTTCGTCTGACTTGTGTTTTTGGTGATTAAAGTGTGTCTTTCCCCCCCGCAGTGTCAAGGGCTGAGACTCCCACACCCGCAGATCAAATGGAGTCTGTGAGCAGCAATACGGCAAACTCAATGCCCACTGCTCCGACTCCCACTGGTATGGTACTACTTTGCAGCTTTTTTAGTCAGCAGGCTATTTAAGTTTTCACAGTGACTATGCATGATCATAAATAAGAAGCCTATCTATCTATCTATCTATCTATCTATCTATCTATCTATCTATCTATCTATCTATCTATCTATCTATCTATCTATCTATCTATCTATCTATCTATCTATCTATCTATCTATCTATCTATCTAATTCAGTTCACTTTCTTGGTGTTACAGGAAGAAGAGTGGGAGGCAGAGTCACCAGAGATGCTGACTCCTCCCCGGAAACGTCCACCGCTGAAACCACAAGCAAGCACATTAACACCGTGAAGTCACTCACTGTCAACAACACCACATCAGAAATTAAGACAACAGGTAGTGTTGCATTTGTGCTGTAAGTAACACCCATAATTTATCACTTTAACCTGTTGTAATTCGGGTGTTTCTGTCCCTGTAGCTATCAATGAGGAAACAACAAAACCACAAACAATTCTCACATCCACTTCAGGTAACAATCCTCACCCTCTCCCTCATGTATTTGAACACCCAGTTGGTGGAGCCATTGAGTTTACATAGTATATAAACCATGAACACTCCACTATAGGCTATAACATCCCTTCACATTTAGCAAAGGCTTGCTGTACAGTAGATGTTCTCATCAAGAATGCAAGAGGCTTTTAAACTAATTATGAGGTAATT